TCAAGATCACAGATCTCTATCTACTTTGCAGATCCAGAGGCTGTGTGGGAGTGTATCAAAAACGTTGGGGTGGCACGTCCAAAACGTCCAAAACATGGCGCGGGAATTCTGTGGGTATTGTCCTGAAGACAGGAACTCACAAGCAAGAGAGGTAATTGATCGCCCCTCGCCTTGACGGACGGTTCAAGTGTGAGCCGTAACAGCCACAATTGGGGGACAGGGGACATGCCACCAGTAGAAACCGATATTTTTGCGATCCCAAGTGCGATGTCATTTGATGCTAATTGATACCATCACACCTACAGTTTTGCCATCGCAATCACTGCAATGGCGCCACATTGTGTCAAAAAGGCATCGCAGTTGGCATCTCAAACATGGTGTTTTCTGACAGTGTGCAGCGTGTCCCAAATTTGTCGCAATGCTGCATCCAGATCGGTAGCCCCGTTTCAATAAGTTGAGGGACAACTACTTTCCGCCTTTGTTGCCAGTTGGGTCGTTTCGGCTCAGGCCTAAGCTACTTCAGTGGAGTCGGGGGCGCCAAACACCCCTTTTTTTCCCGGCGTCTCAGCCGTTGGGTTGAAGCATCGGCCATTTCGGTTGATGCTCTGTGGCGATCTGGGCGAGTCGGTTTCAGCCGTTTCTGCAAGGTGGGGGAGGTCCAGCGCCCCCACCATCGTGTTTGGCCGGGTTGCTGCCCCACAGTTTGGGTGGGCTCGAGATTGTACCACGTCGATTGAAACTGGATGCCAGATCGCCATGGCAACGACACGGCCACAACGCTCGAAAGCTCCAAACACTCCCGCTTTGGCCTTCCGGCTCCGCTGGCCAAGTGCAGCGCTGGCAACGGTGCCGCAAGCACAGGGACAGCAGCGTTTGATGGGTGGGTTTGATGCACAAAAGGCCTCACGTTACACTTTCGTCGCGGCCACTGTTGCAAAAAAGAACAGTTCTGGCGGTTTGGCCAAAATGAACAAAGCTGTGGCAATAACGAGCAAGTCTGTCCCAAAAAAGAGCATGTCCCAAAAGAGAACAATTTCGCTGTCGCAGAAAAAAATAGTGACCACATGAGACCCCGTTGGAAAGCGCACGGCGCCCGCCACCGCCCTCAAGCCCCCTGGATGTGAAGCTGCGCCGAGCTGGAATCCGGAGCCGAAACAAATTCAGGCGGCAATCCGCAGCCGCAGCAGAAGCGAGTATATAAGTCCCCCTGTCTTTTCTGCGAAGATCCCTTGTTGTTCCGCTGACAAAGCCAACCCGGTCAGGGCGTCTAGACGTCAGACCACAGATCTGTGGTTTAGGGCTTAGGTTGTCCGAAACAAGAAGGGACCTTCACGGAAAGATAGAGCGACTCATTTCATGTCACAGCAGCAAAATGCGAAATCCCGTTGGCGACGCAAGGCTGAGCTGACGAAGCAACAAACGGGAATTGGCTGGCGGAGGTCCCGTGGCGCCGGAGTAGGGTACCGGGAGAAGGCAGGACGTGTTTGCATGTTCGCCAGATAAATTGTACATGATGAGAGGCAGGTGGTTCCGAAGGCGCATGATTCAATTCTGTTACCGCAAGCACTGGAAGCCAAGAATGCATTTCCGCCACACATTTGTTCCGAGGCGAGCGGGTAGCTTTCTGTAGATTTCGCACTACAAAAGCATCAAGAGATGCAAAGATATGGCCTTTAGGTACTGTACCGCATACATAGGAGACATGGAAATGAGCCACCTTGGGACGCACAGGGCATTAGGACGCTCGTTGGACACTACGTGCCATTGCGCCACCATGGTGCTTGTGCATTCTCGCACAGCGTAACCGTATTCTCCAACCAGCAAGGAATGGTTCCTAATAATGGCGAAGGCAAGGCCAAAGCTCAGCGGGGATTAACAGCATCAGCTGCATCACGCAGTATTCTACTTCCTCTATCCAAGATTAGTTGTCGTCTATGAACTAGCATAATTACTGACACATCGCACCTACATCAGCTTTCAACGGAATTTCGTCCAAAGTTGTGCTTGTAAGTTTGGAGCGTAATATCAAAATTTCAAGTCAATCCATAAAGTATTGAGGATTTGGAGGTATTTTGTATCCGTGATCTTTCTACCTAATAAACTTCGATGGATGGTGTTCAAAATGATCAAAAAATCCCTTTCGCCTAAAACTTAAGTGATCATGGTTCATTTTTCTTCTTGAAAATTGGTAGTTAAGGGTCTAAAATCTTGCATTCCAAAATTCGGAAAACAATCTTTCTGAATTTGATTTTGTTTTGTAATTTTGAGGCCGCCCTTGTAATGAATTTTGCTTTTCAAATAAACGACAATTAATATTGGACAAAAGAAGTATTTGTCTAGTGAGAGCAAAACTTCCAACAGCTGGCATCTAGAGCTATGCGGAAGAAACCCCATAGTCCGAATCAGGAATGATTGCCTATTCATGCTGTAACTAAAGTTTCAAATATAAATTATGTGGATTCCATATGAAGAAATTTAAACATTGGAAGTTAGCATAGAAATGCTGGCACATAGCCAGAATTCCAAACAGTCAATGAAAAGGCAAAATACCCTGTAATAATGTGCCCCGACAATACAATATTTTCAGCCTTATTTTTTGCGTTTTACTTTTATGTTTGCGGTTTTGTGTTTCGCATTTCTATTTGGAAAAACGTAAATTTGCAAATGGGATTTCTTTGCAGTTGTATTTGCGTTATCGCGGCTCGTCGTCACACCCAGGTTAACGATCAAAGTCGGGTACAATGATCAGTCCTCCGCCCCCTCGAGCACTTGCGACACAATGTCCACCTCGCTGTCGGCAAGGGCAACGACAGCGTGTAACAGAAGTTCGTTTTCTGCCCATTCCAGCGCGTCTGGCTGCCACTCCCGTACTCCCTGAGCCTCTGTGTACTGTTTTTTATGTACATGGGGCAGTATGCGCGTTGTATTTACATATTCTCCTGCGCTGGCCCTGAAGCTCGTTTTCAAGAGCGCTGATTGCAAAGTTCGAATGGGGTCAGTTCTCCAGGCTACAGAAGCAAAATGGCAGGGCAACTATTGCTGGCCCCCTGCGAGCTCTCACGTGAATCACCCAGCCCACTTAGCCCCGAATTTATATGTTCTCTATAGAGAACTCTCCAGCGCACCCGCCGCTGCGTTATTGCACAGCAGAGGACGGCATTGAGACATGCTAAGTGAAAGGGAAGCTCCTGAGGCCCGTGTCTGGAATGTACCACCCCTTGAATATTTGTGCATTCTCTCAGTGTTGAGAAATGAGATTTCTTCAAGATTTCCAGCGCGAGAAAATGCGCTTGTCATACAGGGTAGGAAAAGCTAGCTGATTTCGCAACTTGTTCATTTGCGTGCCCCCGCCCAGCACATTTACGAGCAGCACCAATATTGGTGATCAGCTCCAATATAATCAATTAATCAACGCCATCGATGACTTTATTGATTCATTTCTTCCCCACCTCAGAAACTAATCCAGTTTTTTTGTTCGACTTATTCCCATGATGCAACTCCAATGCCTCCAGTATGGGCCTCGCTGCGCTCGACCATTCGTTCTACAAGTTGCGAGTCTCAACAATATTTTCGTGTCCTGGATATGTTCTACGTGTAACAACATTTTCCCTCCTGCTTAAATTCAGCTAATTCAGCTAACATTTAATGTGCTTTGATGAGAATGACATGCTGCAGTGGAGCGGCATTGTCTACAGAGAAATTGTGCACCGCAGGCGCTGGCTTACCAGCATCGTATGGCAGTCGCTATTGTCCATTGCCCTAATTGAGCAGCAGCTATGGTTAGACGCATGTGGCAGAATTGACGCTGGGCTACTCGTTTGAGCACCAAACATTGTATGTGGATTCAGCTGTGCATGCATTGTACATGTAGTATACTTGGGAGAAAAGGCTCGAACTAGTTCAACCTGATCCAGATTGACCAATATTGAATCCACACCCAGCCGAAATAGAAAAGCATCCAAATTTGGCCAAACTTCTAAAGTATTGTAAAACTACTCCAATGGGAAAGATTTTGGGTTAGGGGTTGGGATGCTCAGGGATTAGGTTGAGTGTGCAGGTCGCTCAAGAGACTAGCTTTGCTGCAATTCCTCTGGCATTTAACCACAACTGAAAACAGAAGTCGAGGGATCGGGCATGTTAATGTACTAAAAACTGGTTTTCTCAACATGCTGACTTAATGGCGGGCGGCTGACTTATTTTATGCTGCTTCTGTTCAATTCAAGAATTCTTACCTCAAGGCAAGGTGGTAGCAGTCTACTCCGAACTTTGCCCAGGAAAAGCGGCGCCCGTGAGTTGTCATTGAAAATCCAAGTAAGAATATCGTGTTGCTTAACGAGGATCATGAGGAGCATCAGTTCAGCTCAAGTCAATGGGCTTCCAATCTGAGTACCAAACTGTGGACTGGGTCGAACTTCAGCGAACAGGGCTAGAATCCCCCTCTGATTGGATTAAATTTTCATCATGCACATTATGTACAGTCTACTTCAGTTGGCAGAGCGCGTAGATGTTTCGCAGGCTTGTAGATTTCAACACCCAGAAGAAACTGTGTCTTGGCTAACGTGGGACAGAGTCCCACTGTAGCAAGATTTTACCATCACATTTGAGAATCGTCATACTGTGAATGGCGTTCGCAAGTAGCACAGAAAACTTCCTGGGGTGCAAGCGAAAGTGACATTGCGTCCCGATGTGTCCCTCACATTTCTTGCAAGAGTCTTGAGAAAAAGCGTGGGAGCCGCAGACATTTTTTTGCCGCTGCCTCATACCACACCTGCTGTGCAGGTTGTAACTCAACAAATTATTCAGCTCCAACATTCCGGAACAAGAGAACATGAGGGTTGTACTCCAGCAAGTGCAATTGAGTTACTTTGATCTGTGGCCCATGTGCCACGTTTGTCACATAATTCTGAATTCCAGAGTTTGCGAAGCAGCAGCCCTGCCTTTGCACAGAGAATTCCATCGTCATCAGTGCAAGCAATTGTGACTGCAAGTAATCCTACTTGCTATTCCCAGTAATCCCTGAAAAAAACCCTGCGATCTTTCAACGATCTCAATCCATCTTCCGTGACCTTTCCACAGCCGGAAACGTCCACACAGGTAAGGCAGGTCATGCGACCAAGGCACTTCAGTCCACGGTTTGTGACACGGACACATGAGGTCAGATCCAAGTGCCTCAGATGCTTTAAGCCAAGAAGCTGTTCCAAGCCTTCGTCTGTCGTGCGCCTGCACCCGCCCAGCTGAAGACTTCTTAGTGTTACAAGGGTCCCTACAGACCGGAGGCCATCAGTAGAGAGCTGTTCGCATCTACCAAGCCGCAGGACTTGGAGGGCCGTGAGAGATACAAGGTGCTTCACCCCATCGTCTGTGATTCGCCCACAGCACCTCAGATCAAGCTCGGTCAGGCGCACGAGACATGCGATGTGCCCAAGGCCTGAATCTGTAATTTCCCGGCATCCCATCAGGTGAAGGCCAGTCATGGCGACGAGGCCTGCCAAGGACTGCAGGCCCTCATCAGTGACGTGGCAGAAGGAGACATCGAGTGCGGCGATGTTAGTCAGGCCACTCAGAAAACTCAACCCACGATCAGTGACCATAACGCACCCACTCAGGTCAAGCTCTGTCAGGGAGGTCAGCCCTGTTAAGTGCCCCAAACCAACATCGCGTATCCCCCTCCCCATCAAATTGAGTGACATCAGGGAGCGGAGGTCCCTCAAACTGTGCAGGCCCTCGCTTGTTATGTTCCCACACCCCTCCAAGTTCAACTTCTTCAGATCTGGCAGACTATGGCAACACCCTAGGCCAACATTCGTTATCTGGTAGCAGCAGTGCAGGTCAAGGTCTGTCAAGTGCGGCAGCCTGGACAGATGGCTGAGTGTGAGATCGGTAGTGACGTCCCAGCATCCACTCAAGTCGATGCTTTTGACATTTTTGAATTTGGCGGCGATTGTGTCAATCCTCTGTTCCAGGGGCATTCCCCTCCTTGTCCATGACGACAGGGTGTGTGCTGCCTCCGAGGCCCATTTGCACCAATGGCGGTTAACACACCGCACACTTCTCATCATATCACCTGTACTGTCTGCAAATCTGTTATCGAATATCTGTTTAACTTTGTCCAAAAGATGGGGAGAAAGGCATCCCCAGCCATCTGGAATGTTCTCGTCCTGGCACAGCACAATTGCTGTGAATGGATAGGCCATCCACATTGCCTTGAAGGTGATACTTTGTTAGGACTTTGAAAGCCAACAAAACAGAATGCTGAGAGATGCACCTCAGATAAGAGATCATTTTGTATGGGCACCCACAGCTCCTGCTAGATCCATGCAACCAGGAACCGCCATTCCCTCAAATTTCCCTCCACCATCATTGTGTGCTTGGAGTGGAGCAAGACATATGCACTTGCCCACTCTCAGTGATAGTGTTCAAGGCTTGCTCCACTTGTCAAAACGATGTCTACACTCAGGTGCAGCTCATGCAACATTGAGTTCTGCCCATACTAAGGGTAGACTCAGAAGAGGGCACACAGCAGTCCGGTGGCCTAGTGGTACATCTGAAACCAACGTATTGGAAAACAACAGCACATCATTTCGACAATTTCAATCGCTGCTATCTTGCCCACCGGCTGTGCCATGGGTCTTGTCCAATCGTTCCGCACTCCTATTCAAGTCGGCCTGGAGCAAGACTTCCTTCTGTCAAAGAGTTCCCGTGATAATCTGCCAGCCAACACAGCAAAGGCAATGTCAGCTCTGGTGGATGTCACAGGTGAGTGCTGTAATATGTGAGTATCGCGCTAAACAGCGCAGACAACAACTGAATCAGTGGCCAACAGTTGTCTTATATGCAACTTTTGGATTGTCCACACATTTCTTGAACCGCTGAACATGTCTGACACGAGCACGTTGGCACGCCTGGTGCGCCGCTTCATCGCCTTGGAAACATTGAGCACGATCCTAGAGGTGGCCCCGCCTTGAGACAACGAAACACCGGAGAAGCCCGTGCAAGTCTCCGTGAAGGGCAGACCACGGTATCCCTCCCTGTAGGCATTGCATACATTCGGCTGCACGCCATTTGGACGGGATCTTGTCCCACCGCGGGTGGCGCGTCAACTGGTGCTCGGACGTCGGCGCAAGGGCCAATTCTCAGCACTTACCGCGAATTGCAGCTGGGTGGGCCGCAAGCGGTGCCCGGAGGCCCCTGCACCCTTCCGTGGGGAACCAACAGCTCGACGTCCCACTCAGCAAGTAGCGACCCATGATGACATCATGTTGCGCCAGGCAACATCGCGTCGGCTCTGTTTTTCTTTTTGTTTGTGTCTCCTGGCAGCGGCCACCTTTTTGTTGCTTACAGAGCAAGCAACAGGTTTTAATACTAGGATGACCGACACTAGTCGCGTTTGAGGCATGGGGCCCAGCGATTTGCCACTGGACGGCACTCGCACGCACGCCGAGGTACCTGCCATCACGTTACGCTGTTGTTATTGCTCCGCATAAAAGGCAAAACATTACATTACAAATGCGGAAGGGTATAACACACTACGGTAATTTACTGGCGAGTGGGAAGTCAAATAGGCGAATGAACAAACGATTCTTGTGGGGATGGCGGCACGCACAGAGGGGTGCATATCTGTGTGAAAACATCAGCAAATGGATGCGCTGTGTGCCCCCCGCGGATTTGGGCCAGAGCTGCAGATTGGGGAGGCAAATACCAAAAGCGGGGACCCGGTTGTAGGTTTCATGTTTGTAGCGGTTGGAGCTCTGCACGCATCCTTCGCACCATCACGATGGGCTGCGACACATGTCGACAGAAACACGATGATCATACTGTTTTGGAAGCCCAAGCCGATGTATGTGGCAGACGGAGTGATGCCCATTCGCAAGGCTTTGAGGGAAGTTGGTGACAGACCGGAACGTATGATGATACATCACCAATCAATGCCAAGCGTGTGCTACTGGCATCACTGGTAAATCGCAAAGATAATGCCAAGGCGACGCGGCTGGCTAAGGTTTCCCCTTTGAAGGAACTTAAAGACTATCTTGCAGAAGAAAGGAATAGGCCCGCGCAGTATTTTATGCGTCGCAACAAATAGAAGGGCATGTTGAAGGGCATGTATCCCCAAGCACAGGCTGTTGCCACTGAATTGGACATGAAGCATTGTGCATGCATGTGCCGTTGTGACATTTGCACCAGGCGTACTGCAGCGGCTTCTTGTACTCATGGTGCAACGGGCCCTTTAATGCAGGAATGAGAATGACTGACCATTAAAGAGACCTTGTATATTCAAGCCCAAGTTTGCATCGCATCTGCACTGACTACGTTCATTCCTCTCCATTTCGTGCGTAATTGCGGGTGGAAGCGAAAAGCTGCTATCAGAGCCCATTAAAGAACATTCAACCATTCCCAGCTATCCCAAGAGAAGACCTCCGAGGGAAGCCAACACTTTCACTCTGCCCACGTGCCCGTGGCAGCAGCGTTAGCATAGTTAAAACGTTTACGGCTAGGACGGCGCAGGGTGGGAAGCTGGACTTGGATGTGGACTGGGGACGCAGCTTCTCTTATTACTACAGGACAATTTCAATTCGGTAGCTCAGTGATGGGCGCGGGGCGCACCCTGGCGGCTTGGCAGCCAGCTTGGACTTGGTTTTGTGTTTCGGGTTTTGGGCTCATTGGCGGAGGAACCAAAAGGGCCCGAGCGCCAGTGAGCGGCATCTTGTTGTTGCCGAGCTCCACCCCGCCACTGCCCAGTTTTGCAGCGGGACTTTGAACAGTGGATCGTTTCCAGGTCCTCGGCAGCGGGGACACGCAGACCGAAAAGGCAAAACTGTCATGCACGAGTTCTGGACTTCTCTCCTTGTACATTAGTGTCTTCGTATTCATGGGATTTGATTGGGACTTCCGGTGCGAGCGCGGCTGATTTGCCCCCAAGGGCGGGAGCAGCCGGCCGTTACACTTCAATTGCACAATCTTGGAGCCGGGCAACCCAATGTTGCAACGTTATGTGAGTACCAATGACACTCAATCAAACCACTGCCCCACAGCAGTTGCCCACATTTTGTACAGCGGTCGTGGGTGCGGCTGCCGTTGTCGTCGTCGTGCGGTTCCGTTTTGTCGCGATGTCAGGTGGGCAATCGGTGTGAGCGTAGGCAGTGAATGTGTGTTCGCCGCAAAATCTCACACACGCCAAGAATCGAATTTAAATTTGGCAGACGGAGCTGAAATGACACGAAAAATCTCGCACACAAATTTCACTATTAGGGGCATATTCTCAATGATATCGAGAATCGAGATCTCTCCAGCAAGCGGGACGTCTGCACGTTCGAATACGTGGAGGGAAACAACTCAACTTTTGGGACTTTTGTTTCCCAGCAAGATGGAGCGCTCAGTCAGTCTCCTTGGAGCCAGGATCGACCATCAGGGAAGAAACACGATTATCCAATCATCAAATGGTCCGAGCCTCTATTTCAAGGATGAACTGAGAATAAATTGGAGCGCCACCCAGAGGACTGATCAACACTGGGGCACACATTCCGTCTCGAATCGTTCTTGACCTAACACTGAGTTGTATTACCCATTTTCCATTTGGGTACTCATCTCTTTACATCAACGCATGACGGCCTGCATTGTGCATCCCAATGCACCCCTGAGCACGATTCGTTCATCGGTTTTTGGTTATTTGGCTCCACAAGGCGAGCATGTTGTCCACGGTGGTGGCCTTCACTTCACCGGGGGCCTTTTCAACTCTCTGTTACGAAGGCACACCCCAGTCAGTGCACAATTTCGTGATTTTCCAAAGCGCGGTACTTACATCAACAAAATACGATTAACCTCAGACACTAAAGACACTAAATCTATGGTTGCAGCTCTGTGCCCAAAGTCTGAACTACAGACTCTGTAGCAACTTTCATGATCCATCGCGCCAGGCATGGATACAGTTTGTCACTCTGTCGCAAAGTTTCCGACAAGGCGTGTGCAGTGCATTGATGCCAATCTTGTATTTATTCAGGCGGTGGTGAGGCGCCCATAAGCCTCTGCAATGCAATTTGAAAAGCGAGCATAGTAGCATAAACCCTGATGCAAGCAAAATCAATGACGCCAACATTTACCAAATTCAGTCATTGACTGGTAGACACTTCTTTGCTGTTTGACAAACGCCGGTTGAAAATAGCGCAGTTTCGGTGATTACCTTGACCAAGAAACTCCTTTGCTCAAGGGAATCACTAGTACTCCACACTGCTTAAGCTGGTGTGTAACCTATGCCAAAAGCACACTGCCAGGAGTGCATTGGACAACAGTTATCCCAGAACCCAATTCCTTGTCACCGTGCAGCCTCACCAATCCCAAGAGGATCCCATCCTCAACGATAGCAGCAAAGCGTTGCGACTTCGCACCACCGCCGGTGCGCTCTAGTCCCATCATGCGAGCGAAGGCTCCACTCTGGTCTTCCACTACTGCTACCTGCACCACAATGGCTGGTGATGTGGCTGCGTGATGTGGTGTGCAGGGGCATCCAGAATACAGGCATCTACAGCCAATTGCTCATCTGCCTAACCTACTGAACCGATCAGCCTTTCGTTGTGCAGTACAGGGTGCTGTTGTGCCGCTCTCACTGCACTGAGATAGCGATGGCCATCTCCACAATTGGAGTGGCCATGTGCCTCTTAGAGCACACTGGGCAGCTGTTTGAGTGAGACCCATGTGGACTCTGCTTGTCAGACTTCAATACTGAGGGAGAGGAGCAGCCCCAAAAGGGTGGCTGCATAGATGTCCACAGACCTGGTCTGGTGAGGGCTGATCAAGTACGGCACGCCCATGCATGTGTGTGCTGAACCAAAGGTTGGAGATCAGCCATTACGTTGATGTAATGCAACAACTGCTGTGAACACTCTGTCATGTTGCACTCAAATTACGTGACATGTGACAAGTACCTTGGAGGTTTTTTATGCAACATGATGTCTTCCATGAACTTAAATGCATTCAGCGTTTTGTGAGACATGGCTATTTCACTTTTATCCCTGCCTTTCTCTTACAGGTGCGCAATACTCCAAAGATGAGCTGTCTTGCTTCCATCTTCGTTGGCACTTCAATCCCGTGGGCCTGACGTCCACAAAAGCCCCTGACAGGAACTCTGTGGTCAATTCTGTTGGCAAGATACGTTGCTCTCCATGTGGGAACACAGCCAGCATACCTCTGATTTCGCTGCCTCGGCTACAATGGGCTTCAGATCTCCGCAAGCCTCCGGCATGATGCACACGATTTTGTCGAAAACTGCAGGTACAAGCTCGCTTGCCTGTCAGTCAGCAAGCCGTCTGTCAAAACTTTTCGCCTGCAATCGAACCAAAACATGTCCCTGGCCCAGCTGGTGCATCTCCAACTGTCTCCTTTTGCACGACTGGGAACGTTGTTGGCAGTGTGGGTGCTTGTTCAGACTGCATGCAATTGAACCGGCGACGAAATGATTCGTTTGAGGGACAGGGATTGGAGTCCCGTCTCCCAACTTTTGTAGCAGGGCGAATTTTGGCCGACAAGAAACTGTGAGACTCTATGAGTTCACAAGAGCAATCGCTGGTCAGGCAGAATAGCACATGCCGCTGCGCCATTGCTCCTACCATGGGTATTGTTCTGAGCCCCTGAATCCAGATACTACATACCAGGGTATATGAGCTGTCTGTTCCATGTCCAAAACAAAAATTCCCAAGGGGGAGAGATAGTTCTGGGCCTCATAAACAGTCAGAACAACTGCATCAACACCCAGGCAGTCTGCTGGGCTGTGGTCGGTGAGGCAATTCCCACCTTAATTGCCAGTCAGGTTGCTACAGCTCGAAAATGGAAGTGTGTGCAATTGCCCAAACGCAAGGACAGAGAGTATGTGACAATCCAGAACAGCGGCTACCACTTCAGTACCATCATTGTGTGCACATGTGCAGAGGTCCACAGGTCCCCTTTTCACTGTGTGATCAGGCTTTGGTACATCGCAGCGATGATTGTTTCACTTGAATTTTCACAGTGCAACTTTACAGGCAACAACCTCAGCCTCACCCTGTGGAGATATTCCGGAACATGTTTCTCTGCGCAGACCTTGCCCCCTGGTAGGCCCACCAACAAGACCTTGTGGCCCTGTGGCAAATGAATACAATGTGCATGTGTGAGGATTGCCCCAAAGTGCATGTTAATGGCAAATTGCAATGGTGTTGTGGAGGCACCTTACAGCAATTGTGAATGTTGCCCCAAGTCACGTGTTTCAATACTATTGAGCACCACTGGCTTCTGTGGGAGAGGAGTATGTCTTCTCTGGCTGCATGAATTTGCGCATTTCGACGTTTAGACGCTAGATAATCGTAGCTTCTGAAGTCTTGGCTCTTATGTGTGTGCAGGAGCTCATGAGCCATCATGTGTGCCAACCAAGAGAAACAGAATGGATAATGCAGAGATGCAACCATCGGTATGTTTCGTTGTTGCACAGCTTCTCTGCATGCTTTCCTTTGCTGCATATGCCCGCTGCCCAATGGCTCTCCTCCCATGTATCTAGCCCCCTGCCTATAGGCACGCATTCCCCACGGCTGTGCATTTCCATGGCGCAACCAACTAGAGGCGGCAAAAGAAGTTGTGCACATGGTATGCTTGGGACGCCCTGCCACTGCCCCTTGCTACCAGCCTCTCCATCCTATGCCAGGAGCACTTCCTTGGCCAGGAGATGGCACAACAAATCGATCGAACAGCATTGCATTCCCTGCTCCTATCCACCAAGTTTCCTGTCTGCATGGTCTGTATCGGAGGCTACCAAGGTGAATTATGACAGATAGTTACGTAGGTCATTGTTCGCAATTTTGGACTGCACATCGTGTGGGTCAACACAATAATGCGCTCCATCGCCTGGGCGTGCCAGGCTATGATTCAGTCAAACGCCGATGAATGCAATCTAAGGGATTGAAAACGCCTTGCAGGATACCCATTCACATAAATTGGCGTAAAAACTTGATCGTTAAAAGATACTTCATGTGGCCTGGAGGCACCCGCCCCACCTTCAGCGCGTCGCCGATGGTGGTCGACGCGCCTCCCGCGAGCAGGCGGATGTCCTGGCGAAGCGTCAGGTCCCGCATCCGCATCAGGCCGATGTGGCACGACGTGTCGCTCAAGTCCGACCGGTGGTGACCTCGGGGCACGTCGTGCGTCGACCGCTCGGCCCCCCCCGGCTTTTCTTGGGAGCCGCTTTGGGCCGTCTTTGGGGCACCAGCAGTCCCCGCGGCGGTGGCCATTAACGCAACCCGATGTTGATCGTTGCGTCCAGGGTTGGGCAGCGAAGAGGAGATTGATCTCAGGCGCCAAAGCGGCCGGGAAAGGCGGCGGGCGGCCATGCCGCCCTCAGGCTGGAGAAGTGGATGGAACTAGTGGAGAAAGGGAACTGCGGTTCCTGTGCGCCCTGTGCCAAGGCCGGGCGGTTGAGTAAAGAGAGGGACTGCGCGATAGCCGGCCTGCCCGGGGCGGAGGGCTCACAGAAGCCTGTGAGGCTCGGGAGTTACGGCGACAGCGGGGAACACGTGGGCAATAGATTGGTAGCTGCGCACGAACACGTTAGCAGGTCGCTGAAAAATGGCGTGGCAGTGACGTTGGCTGTTCGGTTGCTTCGTTTAGGTCTTATGGTAACCTACACATCCAACCCTAAAAACTTGCAAAACCTAAAAACCTAAACAAGCCTAAAGCCACGAAGCCTGAAAGCCCAAGAAAAAACCGGACAGCCACGTCACTGCCAGGCCAGGTATCGTGGAGGCGCACGAAGGTTAGTTGGGAGAAAAAACGAGGGGGGGGGGGGGCACCCTTTGGGGTTTCTATTATCGACACGCTGGTGCCTGATGTCAGCGTTTGGCGCTGACTGCGAAGCAGCAGCACGGGCGCAAAGTTGCGCCGAGCGCTCGGACTCCGCACCGAATTTGAAGGCAGGCTCAACTCTTTCATGGCATCCTCCTTGGGCAGACCTCGCAGCATCTGGGCATCGCGGCCCTTGCACCTGAGGCGGCTGAAAGGGTGTCGCACAGAAGGTACGGCCGTACGCGGTCTGGACCTTGTCGCCGGGCGGTGGCCAGAGCGACAGAAATTAGCCAAGTTCGGTAACGTGGGTCGTCGCTGAAGGGCTTGCGCGATTCCGTTCCCTTTCGGGGCAACTGGCAGCGGTCGTCGATACCGGCATGTGCTGATGAGCTCGGCCCGCAGATTGCCAGAAAACGGGGCCCACCTCCAAGCTTCTTGCTGCTGACTCGCCGGTGCCGCGCCTGCGGCCAGGCGGCACTGTTTCCACTTTCACAACGCGGAAATCCTGCCCTCTGGCTTGATGCGGAGAATGACGCGCGCAGGCGCGCTCCCAGCGGCGTCATGAAGGGCTTCGCCGGCAGGCCGCTGGCCATCGTGGCCCTGCCGCTGGCGATGCTTGCCGCCGGGGCGCAGGGCCAGGCCGCGACGGAGGCCGTCAACGACCTGGCCCTCCGCCTGTACGACGCGCTGTCGACGGGGGATGCCTCCAAGAACATCTTCTTCTCCCCGCTTAGCATCTCGACCGCCTTCGCCTTCGTCCACCTGGGGGCGCGGGGCGCCACTCGAGGGCAGCTGGAGGAGGCACTTGGATTTGGCGCCGAGGGCGTGGCGGAGGCCCTGCGCAAAGGGCGGGTTGCGCTGGACGCACCCGAAGAAGGTGTGGAGTTCCTGCTTGCGAACAAGCTGTTCTTGCAGGAAGGATTTGATGTGGAGCGGGGCTTTAGAAAGGGGGTGTCGAGAGGCGGCCTTGAGGAGACATCTTTCTCCGAAGACCCGGAGGGATCTAGGCGGCTGGTGAACGGCTTCGTTAGCAACGCGACGGAGGGGAACATTGAGGAGCTGATGCCGGAGGGGTCCGTGACGACGGACACCCGGTTGGTGATTGCCAATGCCATGTACTTCCGGGGGGCCTGGGAGTTTCCTTTCGAGGAGAGGCTCACCAAGTCGATGCCATTCAAGGGATTCGAGGGCACCACGACCGTGAATATGATGATGCAAAGGGAAGTTAACCTTAGGATTGGCAGCATACCCGGTGCCCAGGTGAGTGGAGGTCTGCTATACTTGTCCTGAACGTGGTCGTCGATGTGGACAGGTCACGCCCCAGAACCTGCTGCATATGTGCTGTATGACAATCTGTGCATCTGCAAGGTATTATCTCAAACAGCTCATGTGAGTCCCAACCTCCAGAAAAATCCTTGATAATGTTGCATGTTGTTAACGTGTCCCGCAGCGACCACAGGCTCCATTGCCAGATTCCCAGGATCTCGTCACATATTGGCGAATAGGTGCTATTGTGACATTGCATCAGTACTTCCTGCAATCAAAAAAATGTCAGCCAGAGAAGAGATGACACCAGCCTTTGTCATGCTGTGAAAGATGTGAAGAAGTCACTTAAAACAGACAAAATGCCATGCAATGAGGGTTCCTGGGCCATAATGCAAAGAACGCATGCCTGTGCCTCCGAAGCCACAGCAGGGCAGTGCTTGTGTTTCTGTCAGCTTTGGTGTTGGCACATGAGAATGTCACCCCCATGCACGATCATTCAGACGTTCAATCTGTGGCAGGCTGGTCAACAAAAAGCTGTCACCTTAGAAGAAAGGACACATGTCACACATTGTGCAAACGCCATCCAGAGCAAGTGTATTGGTTTACTGTCAGTAACTTTTGGATCTTGTGAGCGGTGGCTGTTCACCACTCAATCTGTTGGAACATGCTCCAATGGAGCCTGCATTGCAATGTTCCTGATATAAGTGCGCTATCAAGATCTCAGTCTGCGGTACCATGTACATTAAGACATGCCAGGCTGCAACAATGTTGAAACTAGCTGGGTTTTGCTTCTTGTAGACAAGAAGAGTTTTGCAAGCTGTTAAGTGGCACCTGTTCTTCAAATTCACATATGAGTGGTAGGAATAGAATTCCATGTGTTCGTAGTTGCGCAACGCTAATTAGATGCCCTGCACTGCATTGTGGGTTCAGTTGTGTACTGGGAACCATGATGTGCAGTCCAAGGAACCCTCACATACAGAAAGTTTCTTGCGCAAACACATGCGTGGCTCACTGCACAGGTCCTTGAACTCCCTTACCGTGGGGCAACTGTGGCAAGCATGATCATCGTTTTACCAAACAAGCCCACCAAGAAGGCATTCTTCGAGCTGGAAAGCGATCTGAAGAGCATGTCGATTACAGATCTGCTGGAAGGCAGTAGCTTCAACGATGTGGACGTGTACCTGCCAAGATTTGGCGTTGAGGACACTTCTAACTTGGAGATCGTGCTTCCAAAGCTGGGTGTGACAGACCTGTTTCTGCCAGGAGTTTCTGATTTGTCTGGCATTGCCACTGTCACACCGCCGCTCTCTGTTTCCTCAGCAATCCACAAAGCCAAGGTCATGGTTGATGAAAAGGGGACAGTGGCTGCTGCAGCAACTGCCATTGCCATCAGCCTGCAATCGGCTGCCATTGAGCCTCCTCTAGAGTTCAAGGCTGACCATCCTTTTATCTATTTCTTGATTGACAATCAGAGTAAGCTTGTCCTGTTCATGGGAAACGTCAAGGAGCTGCAGGAATGAATGAGATAAACTTTCAATTGGCCCAAGCTAGAATTTTCTTCTCAACGCTAGCATGCGTTCAATTCTATTGGTAAAAGTGAACATCATGGCGATGCCATTACCAGGCCAATGGCATGCTAAATCGGTGTGCAAACTTGTGTAATAGTGATCAACATTGGCTCCCAGAAGATATTTTGGCACTTTGCTATGCCTGACGACTTTGGAACTGCCTGTTATGCCACTAAAAATGGGCCAGTGATGGCTTCATACCTCTGCATGCAGAATTCCTTTGCCTACAATTGCCTACTACAGTGCCTATTACCACTACAATTTGCCCTACTTTAAATCACAGGGGATCCCAGTCTTGCAACACTCAACACAGCATGCTTCCCTATTGCCCTGCCTGTTTCACCTCAGTTCTTGTACAATTGGCAGCCCAATGCAAAATCGCAGGCTGTTTGCTGGATACTTTGCAACACAGAATGCGACCACCACCAACTCGATGGGAAACCCCTGTTCCGCTGTGCAGCCAGCAGTCACCGCGAAGCTGCTGCCCAAAGGCACCATCCGTTTCAACGTACCCTTGCCGCTGTAACCCACGCTGACACAAAAGCGGGTGCAAAACGTGGCTGCAATCAGCCATTTCGCCGAGCCCCACTAGTGACCGGTAATCACAAGCGCTGCTATAGCACGCTACATGCGCAGGTTTCTCTATCCCATCGACCCTGTTTCATGGGCATGGCGGACGGCTATACGCAGGAGACTCCCCCCCCCTCCTCACGGCATTCTTCATCGAGCAGAAACCTGTGAAGCAGGCCAGACTGTGGGTGGCAGGGACAGCCTCTCGCCTATGCCAGCATGGGAAAGTGCCCTGCGACCCGATACCTTCCCCAACAGCGCCCCTTGTGCCAGACGCGCAAGTTCGTGCGCCTAGCCTTGAGGCCAATGGAGCAAAGCCCCCATTCGCCGTTGTGGACCAACTTCGATTGCCACACCTGGGTGTGTGCTGATTTGACGGGTGTTGCCTCACACTAAGTGGAATGCTGGCAGCCCTGCCGGCACAGGGAGTAACCGAGCTTTCGTTCTACCGCCCCCTGTCAATTCCTCTTGGGTTGTGATGGAAGCTTGATGAAGAATGTGGACCACATAGATCCTCATTTCTTCACTCCATCGCTTACCGAGTTGCGGTCAAGAACACAACCTCACTGTCGGCAGCCACGGGCTCTCATCTGAAACCCAGAGCCCATTGGATGCAAATTGCTAATGATTTCTGCTTGACAGGATCTTTCTCGCAACTGATTCGCGACGGGACCAAATACGACGATGGCCAACTGCTACAAGAAAAAGGTGGCGGCCACCACTCCAACGAACGCCAGCACATCGCCAACACCACCCTTCCACGTCTCCCTCATCAGCCACCCTGGAAAGCACGCCAACGCCATTTGCCATTGCCACTTGCGCACTAGCGTCACCCCGCATCATCTCAAGCACTATTTGTTTCCATGGGTTCAGTCTGAACGAGAAGTTGTGCCTGTTTCATCAGTGACACCGTACAGTACGCGACGCGTGGCGCCACCTCGTTGTGGCAACGCGCTAGCAGAGGCAAATTTTGTCCCAGGTCTGGGCTTTCTGCTGAGGGTTCGTTCGTTGCATTCCGAGCCCATGTACACCGTGTTCCTCAGTGCTGTTGGGGCGGGTTTCTGCCAATTACTGTGAGGTCGTTGCAGACCGCCATCAGAGGGATGCTGTTTGGCTATCTGAGCACAGCAGAGACACGTGACCTGACCAGTGCGTCGGTTTTTGCCCGTTGCCTGTGAGGATTTTCTTTTCATTCATTCCTTCATTTTTCCGAATAAGAATATTTTCTCAATTCCCGCTTTTTTCCAAGCCCCGTCAGCACTGGCGCCCGCCTCCCCGCCCCCAACGCCCCCCACCCCCCCGGCGACACCAAGTCCCGCCTGTTGGCGCGCCCAATCCCCGGGCCCGCGCGGCCGCCCCCTTTCCCGCGCCATGGCCCCGCGCGCTTCGCGCTCGCCCAAGACCGACCCGACCCGCCCCCCGGAGGAACCCCCCTCCCTGCCCGAGGCCTCCAGCGGGCCGGAGAGCGCCCAGCCGGCATCCCGGGCGCCCCGCCACGGGCGGCCAAGGTCGCCGGCCCCGGAACCAGGGCCGCAAACCTGCGCGAAGGATGCGAAGGATGGGGGCGGTGCAGAGGGGACGCAGGACTGTGGGTGCGAGAGCGGATTCAGCAGCAGCACGAACGTGTGCAGGGAGCGGAGGGACCAGCGCGGGGCCGCCCAGAGGTGCTACCCGGACGTGGAGGAGCTGCAGTGCTCGATCTGCTACGAGCTGCTGCTGGACCCCGTTGTCGGTGAGTGTCCGTGCGGGTTGTTGGGAGTCGTGATGGTGCGACGTTTTGGAATTGGCCGTTTGCTTTGTAGGTGTCGTTGGCGGGACCGGGTGGAACGGTGATGTCGCCTGTTGGCTGTGGGGCAGGGCCGGTGGGAGGCGGGGCGAGGGGATGGGGTGGCCGTTTGCTGCGCGGTAACGGGTGACTCATGCGCTGTCAGGGGATGGTCGTAGTCACCGGAGGTAGTAAAGGGGGGGGGGGTAACGTGGACGGTTGCCCGCCCTGCGCTCGAGGGTGGCTGTGGTCGGCAGGTGGCCGTTGCGGTGGGAGCTGCTGCGCGATCTGCCTTGTGCGCCGGCAGGCAGCTTTTCTCGTTCATATTAGAGGTGTAGGTGAAGAGCTGCCCCGCAGAATCGCAGCCAGCTGCTAATGTGGCTATCCTGCAATGGGCAATGCAGGATCGAACTCTGGCAGTGTCCACATGGCTCACATAGTACTTGCAGGCACATATGCGCAGACCTCGTTTGGGCGATGAGTTGTAGGTTGTTGATGTGTAGCAGATTTGCTGTGATGGGATGCACTGCTGTTTGGTATTGATTCTCAATGTGCTCTGGTAAAGAACGCTCCCACACGCGTTCTTGGAGCTGATGCTGTCAAAGCCGAAAGAGTTGTCGCTTCGTTGCCACAATAGCCTGCTGTTAGACATCGAATCCGGATACGTTGGAGGGCAAGAATCCTAGGCTGGTGCCTGCAAGAAGGGCTGCCCTTCACGATCTTGTGTTCTGGATGGGGCGCAGGCAGCTGTGGGCATGACTTCTGCCGTCACTGCTTTGAGGAATGGAAGAAGCGGAGCAGGAAGAGGAACTGCCCGATCTGCAGGAAACGCCTGCCAAGCGACTTAGGTGAGATGCAGTGTTGTAGCCGATTCATGCAGTAGAGGTCCAACGATGAATTGATCAGATTAGAGGTCAGATTACAGTAAGCAGACTGCAGGCAACTGTGGAGTTTTCAGCGTCCATGTCTAGTGGCAGAAGGCTGCAGTGGTAACTGTTATATGAAGTTCTCAGGCAGCTGCACACAAACCATTTTGAGATGAGATGTTTCCAACGTGCGCTTGCCCACGCCATGGGCTTTGTGGTCTGCAGGGACAAGGGATTGTTCAGAGACATGTTCTTGTTGGTTAGGCTCGGCGTTCATGGTTGTGTTGAGTTATTTGTGAGGTAAACAAATCAAAATCACTTGATCTTGAGATTGGAACATGTGCTGCGGAAGCAGTTGCTGCAAAATATGTGTGTGGATTCGCGAAGTTGGGGCCTCCGACCTGCAGCCACAGCGGCAGTTGCAAATATCCACTGTGCGCTGCGCACCAACAGTCGCAAAGCGACCTGTTCGAGGGGATGGGGAATGACACCCTGCCTCACACCATTGCTGCAGGCGTGTGCGGTCGCTTGAAGGACATGATCGAGAAGCTGTTCCCTAATCAGTCTTCAATTCGGCGGCAGCAAGTGGAGAGCTGGCAGAAGGAGGCCCAGGAGCTGGGAGGGGGTGCTCGCGATGCTGACCTTGAGGCACTAATGGCACAGATCTCCCACCTGCTTGAGGACGCGAACTCGGGGGCAGAGATGGATGGCAGTGAGGACATTCGAAACAGTGGTGAGTCATTCCACCGCATGAGCTAGTTGAAACTGTGTTCTTACACACATGGAGGAGAAACACAGTGGAAGTGTCAAGTGTCAGTATCAAGTAAGTATACTGAGATGGTTAGCTTGTCATTGCAAAAATGTTCCTGGCAGCCCCAACTGATATATCATCAAAAGACCACAGACTGCCTCAAGTGGAAGACTATCAACCTGACTACAACAACAGTGGCAAAATGACTGTGTTGACATTGCTGTCTGGCAGTTCTTGGGTCCAAGAATATTGCGGCACAAGAATCTTGCGGTGCAAGCATCTTGCGGTGCAAGCATCTTGCGGTGCAAGCATCTTGCGGTGCAAGCATCTTGCCGTGCAAGCATCTTGCACTGCAAGAATCTTGCCATGCAAGCATCTTGCGCTGCAAGAATCTTGCACTGCAGGATTTGATTCCCTGGCCCTGATTACACCTTTTGTCAAAAATGGGATTGAAAGCTGCTTGAGTTGGTGGCTCAGTCAGCCCAATCCAAACACAAGGGACGAAATTTTTGCCCATTTCCATTGGTACTGTGCAGTATTTGCAGTATTTGCAGCTTAGGAGCATTTCAGTGCTAATAGTGCAAACCACTTCTCACCTTTTTATGCACAGAGGTTGTGAAACCTGATGCTGTCAGACATGATGCCTTGAGTGCACTGGGATGTTGCTGCCTAGATTTGTCTAGGCCCAGACTTGTTGCAACATGGATGGAGTGTAGCAATGACAGGATGCCCAAGGCAATTGGGATGTGCCCAGAGCAATCGGATACAGCCACATGTTGCTAAGGGGGGTCAGGCAATAGCAAGATATTTGCATTTCGAGCAGTACAATTCCGAACTGGCTGCAGCAGCCGTGGTGCTTCCCTGTGTTGAAGGTACCAGAAGTTGGCATTCCTGAGAAGGCATTCAGTGCAGTGTTCTAAGCTCTTTGCTGAACACTGTGTACTGATCAGGATGTTTAGAAGTTTGGTTTTCGGCTTTGTGCACAGAAACTGCTGCATGAGAGGATCAGGTTGCGAATTGATCACTCAAGCATATTGGAAATTGGTTATTCGCCGATCGGTGAATGCCTGTGTTACGTAATGTTTCATACCTTTCGTCTGTCAATGCCAGTCCATGACAACAGACGACCAGGAGGGAGGAAGGCAGAAACGAGGGACCCACAGTGAAACATTTCCATGTGCTCAAGCTATACACACCCACCCCAACAAACGACGAGGCAGGGTCATTCAGACCAAACTAGTATTGTGCCCCAATCTCATTCTTTGTACACTCTTGAAATCTGGTGCAGACATCTGCTGGAGGCGGCTGTCGATTATTCCTTTGTTCACCCCCCAGGATGCACTCCATTGAAACCGCACCCTGGCCGGAAGGTCGGGCGGCTCAATATACAGCGCTTGGCAACCTGGTTGGCCACCGTTTTGATGCAACAGATTGGAATTGTCCCTTCCTTGTGGACCTGTGCCTTGTCTTCTCTGGTCTTGTTTGGTCTGCCTGGTTTGTCTGTTTTGTTCTTTGGGTTTTGTCTTTTTTCGTTTCGTTTCTTGCTTTCTCATCGCGCCTCTTCTCCCTGCCATTCCCCCAACTCTTTGTTCCAAAAAGCGAGTCTCCAAATGTCTGACGCCCTGTCTCCTGACGTGCGCCCTTCCCCCAGGTGACCCGGCGGGCGCCCTCAGCAACGACGACTCCGCCTCCCGCCCCGCCGGCCCCTCCGACGCCCCGCCCCGCCCCTCCACCTCCGCCCCTGACGCCGCCGCGCCGGGCTGGACCCGCCACGTGCGCCCGCGCTCCTCTCTGCTGGCCAACGTCGCCTTCACCATGGGCTCCTACCACCGCCGGCGCCGGCGCTTCAGGGCCAGCTCATCCCAATCCAGCGGCGCGATCACGAGCAGCGGAGGGGGATCGGCATCCGCGGGGGCCTCCGGCCCCGAGTCGCGCCAGTCGCGCGGCGGGGTGAGCCATTCGATCGACGGGGGCGGGGCGCCGGCGTCCCAGGCCGCGGGGTCGTCGCAGCAGTCCGTGCGCCGGCCGCTGCCGGTGGTGGACGAGCAGGACTCACAGGGAGAGCAGACGTCGTGAAAGGGGCGTGCTTGTGCGTGTCAAATTTGCGGCAAAGAGCTAGAGAAACTGGTCGCACAAAATGCGCAAGAATGAGCAAGAGAAGCTGGCCGTGCAAAGGGGCACCCTATACTAATACTAAGCAAGTATTTGTTCGAGGCTCTTTCCATGTTGTTGGAAAGATGGCGCGGGGTCTGGGGGAGGGGGGAACCATGAGACTGCCGCGCGGGCGAGACGCAAAGTTGTTTGGAGTTGTGGGCAGCGGGCAGGAGGGGCGCGGCGCCGCCAGTTGCTCGCCTTTCGCGGCGCCGTGAAACCAGATTCGCGTGAACAGTGGAGAACAGGGGGTTTGGGCTGGGTCGGGCAGGGGGGCGGCCGTGTTAGTCACATGGCGTGCGTCACCGGACTGGTTGCGCGGCTTCTTTCCCGGTGCAGGAAACGTCTTGTTTAGTCGTATTCTTTGTCGGCTGTGGCGCCTTGTAGGTCAATAGGGAAACTTGCTGGAAGTCATCGGGGAGGTGGGGAGGGGTGCGAGAAATCGCCATTTCGTTGCGCGTCCTTGCTTGGCAGATGCTTGGGCTCCTTGGGCCGCGCGTGCCAATGGCGGGGTGCGGTGTAGTGGTAGATCAAACGAGTCTGTCTCAGCGTTAGCTTGTAGAAGGGGATTGTGGTTTGCATCCATTGCTGCTGTCCCAACGACAGCTTGTGTAAAACGTCGTGTGTAATAGTTGGGATATGTTGGGATTCTTTCCAGGTGACCGGCATTGAGAGAGCTCGAAGAGTTCGGCCAGGGCTGTATGCCATTGGCACGTTGCTTGCACCCTATTGTGTTTCTTTTGTGGAGGGGGGGACCTTTGTTGCTGATATGTTTGTTGATGTGTATGGCAAAACAGTTGGTTGAAGAGAAGCACGTTTGCGATTCGACATACCTGCACTTGAAGAAAGTACAGGCGGCCTTGGCACTCCATAGCCACTGTAAGGCACCACAGAAGCTCACCTCAAAGTATCTTCGTTTGCCAGCAAGCCAGCGCAATTTTTTCCCATTTATTTCCTGTTGACATGTGCCGCTGGCAGCCCAGGGGTTGCCTCTAAGCGCAGGAGTTTGGTATGGCTTACTTTCAGAAACACATTGGAAGGCGTTGTGGAAGCAGGTGCGCTCTGGTCCGCATAGCAGTCAAAGCAGGCCAAGATGGGAGTGACAGGGCAAGGTCCCATAATACTGCTGCTTCCTAAGGAGTACCCGTATGCCTCTTGTAGAAACGAACACGCAGTGCCCTGTGCAGTTTTCGCATAAGTGCAGTATGCATATTGATGGTGCGGCAGAATTACACCACCGAAGAACCACAATCACAGACATGTGGACTCTCGGTGCTCTGTGACAGATGTCAACGCGAACATATAAATAAAAGTCGATGTTCAAACAGACAGTTGCTACTATCAGGCTGGCAGCCCACGGACATTTCCCATAAACAGAATAGTTCCGCCCTCATCTATCAAGAAATATACAAAAGGGTGGTCTGCCATGAAGACTTTCGGAGGCGAAAGTGAAGCTGAAGTTGCCACGACAGCAACGCTGGTGGCTCCTGCAGCCACTGTCCCTTTTTCATCAACCAAGATTTTGGCTTTATGCAGTGCTGAAGAAACCCTCAAGGGGGGAGTTTCAGTGCTGATGATCCCAGACAAATCTGCACTCGACTTGAACAGGTCTGTCACTCCCAGCTTTGGAAGAATAGCCTTCAAATCAGTCGTGTCCTCGATCCCAAACCTTGGCAGGTAGACATCCACTTCGTCAAAGTTCATACTTCCCCTCAGAGCTTCCAGTGTCACCTCCATCAGGTTGGCTTCCAGCTTTGAGAATTCATCTTGGCTTTCGTCGTTTGGCAAAACTATCAACATGCTTGCAGCCCCATCCTCATAAGGAAGCTCAAGGATCTGCCCACGAAGCAACACATACTGCTTGAATGCAACTGGCGAGGTTGGATACCAGATGCAACATGCATTTGTGGTGAGGGGCCAAACTCAACACACTTCTGAACACGTCTGGATCGGCCAATCACTTGGCTGCAAGAGCTATCAACACATCTGCAGGAGCCACACAGTGCCTCCAAAAATGGCACATTCTTTATGAGGACTTTCAAAAAACAAAACTATGAGTGATCCAAAATCCGCAAACATGGGATCTTTCAGCAAACGCTATGTGATTGATGCAAGATCTGCAGACAGCCAACCTTGGAGATCGCGCAAGAGTCTGCAACTCGTCCTCAAAAATGTGGACCCAAAGCAAGACGGCCAGACAGTTTCCCCACTGGACCAGCGCTGGGCGACCACCGAGGTTCTGCATGGTTATCTGGGCCAAGCGAAACTGTGCTAGCATAATCAGCATTTCGCTGTGGCCTCCTTGTGCCAGACTGGCAGTAATTTGGGCGCAGCCTGGTGTGGGTGGGGAGTATGGGGCAAACATCCAGCCCAACGGCCATCAAATGTGTTGCATCGCCAGCACCTTTCGTTGCCTGTTGTTGCCAGCCTTTGTTCTGCGATTTATTGTGGCTGTAAACTACTAGAATTGGCGCTGCTCTCTGACACCATGCTCACCTGGGAATCAAGGATTTCGCCAATGCGGAGAGTAGTTTCCTTCTGCCTCATCATCTGCACAGGCGCAGCGCCCCCATTGAAGCCTTTGAACGGCATCTCTACGGTGCTGCTTTCGATGAAGGGGTACTTCCAGGCCGCCTGAAAGAACACGGCGTTGGCAATCACCAGGACGGTGTCCGCGGTCACGGACCCCTGCGGCATGAGCTCCTCAATGGTCCCCTTCGTCTTGTCACTGACAAAGTCATTCACCCTCCGCCTGGCCCCCTCTGGATCACCCATGAAGTCCACCTCGTCCAGCACTTTGGGCCCCGCGTCCTCCGCGCCCATGTTGAACCGGTCCGTCAGCTCCAGCCCTTCCTGCAAGAAGAGCCTGTTCGCCAGCAGGAACTCCAGGCTGTCGTCCCGCTCGCCGGCCAGCGCTACAGCCCGCCCCTTGCGCAGGGCCTCGGCGGCATCCCCAGCGCCAAACCCGAAGGTCTCTTCCAGCTGCAGTCGGGTGGCGCCACCCGCCCCCAGGTGAACGAAGGAGAAGGCGGTCGAGATGCTCAGCGGGGAGAAGAACACGTTGTCGGAGGTGCCCAATTTGGACACCTCGCCGTACAGGCGGAGGGCTAGGTCGTTGACGGCCCTGCTCGCGGCCTGGCTCTGCGCCTTGGCGGCGAGGGGCGCCAGCGCCAAGGCGAGGATGGCCGCCCACGCCGTGGCGCAGCGATGCATGGCCCTGAAACGGGCGCGCCTGCGCGACACAAATTCAACCATCTCACAGCTCTAGGAATGAAACAAAGAGGGGCGAGCAGTCTGGAAGGGCTCCTAAGATCCGACGCCGCCCCGCGAGCGGTAGCCGAACGTCAAGAGTGACAAAGTGAGCTTGGCAGCGCGTGCATCTGGCTAGTGCGGGGATGTTGACGACACATCCCAACCCACCCGCCGCAAGGATTGGCCAGCCGCCTCGTCGCGCAGCAAGCCCTCCGCTCCCGCCGAGGTACCCGACGCTGGGAAGCACGACGGCCGGGTCGCTGTCCCTCGAAAACCAGCCGCACTTGGGGGGCGTGTACCGGCCCTGCGTCCTGTCACACCGAGGCTGCAGGCATCTCGCTGTGAACCTCCCCAAAAGACTGATGCAGCGTACATTGAATGGAACCCGGATGCCGCGACTTTTCCTCTCGTGATGGTGTGCGCACCGCGGGTTAACGATTGGTGCCAAGCCGACAGTCAGGCCTGGGGATTTCTGGGCAAACGCTGCCTGCGCGGAATGCACAGGTGCACTGCTTCGTGAATCCATTGGTGCCGCACAGTGGCGTCTCTTCACGCGAGCCACCCCCTGACCAACTGCACATGCGCGATTAGCCACTGCTGTTCAGCAATGCGCCCTTTCACCGGAGGCACAGGATGTTGTTCGGGTCGCCAGTAAATGGGGGTCATCAGAAAATTAGTAAGTTAATGATATCGCTCAGCTGGCGACCCGCGAGGTCCAGAAACGGCGCGGAGGGGATGACGACAACCTCAGCACCTTCGTCACACTGAATATCATCCAGCAGGTTGGCGCTCAGTGAGGCAAAAAAACAAATCATCAATCAGGGGTGCTTCAGAATTTTCTGGTAGTCCAAGCCCAAGGCACTCAGAATGCAAGGAGATGACTTCAGTGACGAAGAGAGACCATGGCAGCCTCACTATACGCCTAAAGAACTCAAAGCAATGCAGTTGTGATGCCGGACAAAGCTGCAGTACGTGGCAGCGCGCGTCACGGGCACACCGGTGTCAGACACGCTTGGAAAACACCGCGAAGTACTGAGAATCACGCAGGTCGCTGTTGGGCACGTGCGTTTGCTTTGGCAAGGGGTGCAGCCGTGCGTGACCGGCCGCGTTGGACGCAGAAATGCTTGGCGGGTCGGGCTAGGTTGGTTTTCAGAACATTGCCCGTTGATCGAGCCGGGACGGCCGTGGCTGGCCATGGTGCTGCCGATGGGGGATGGCAACCACACGGCCGAATCGCCGATTGAGACCGTTCGAGGCGGAAGTTGGCGGGGGAGTTTCTGGCGAACAGGCTGGCCTTTCAGCCTGCATGATCAGCTGTGTGGCGCAGCGTCGTGAGCTCGAGTGAGCGCAGGCGCCGTGGATGCGCGGAACGGGAGGTCGCTGGGCTGGAGCAGCTTCGGGGAGGATGTGAGAGGGATGCAAATGTGCTGCAGCTGGATTTGCCATCCTGGCATGGTGCTGGAGAATTTTGGCGCCCTATGGCATGCAAGCTGCTCAGGATTGTGCGCCTAGCTCAGAGCAAGATGGTTTGCCACGGAAGGCTGGGTGCCGTCAGTCAAAAAAATGGACCCGTGAAGATTGATCGCAAGCTTGAAAGGATCAGTCAGTTGCGAGTTGAGCTTGCACATGCTGTTGCTATCCCAGGCTCTGTGGGGGTGTTTTAAAGAAATCATTTTCAAAAGATTTCACCGCAAACGGATCCTTATTGAACAAGATAGGGCATTTTATGTGCGAAGGTGCCGTTTTGGATGGAGCTGGGCCGCAGCCTGTACGTCCTGCCATAGGGCGCGGTGAGACGGGGCCAGGAGCGTCACGTGGCTGTTTGATAAGAATATGGCCCGTGGGGCATTACGCGGCTGGGAAGGGGGGCGTACCGGTGTGAATTGCGGTGACACTGCAGTGTGGCGGAAAGATTCCAGGTAATCGAAAGATGCTGTTTCATATAGGGAGTGTTTCAAACTCGGGGGAGGTTACAAGTAGTAGGGGCGTAGACAGGCCGTGGGGGAGTCGCCATTGCTGCACTGGGCATGGCATGACTGCTTTACTGTGTCCCGTTTACATTTCTGCGTACTGAGTTCTGATACTCTGTTGCGCATGTTTGCCTTTGTCAAATACGCAGTTGTTACAGTTTCCCATGCATTGTGCGTGGCAGGGCTTAGTTGCCGCTCGTGATTCACTGTAGATTGCACATCGATGTGGCTGCCTCACAGGAGTGATGGTGGTTTGAATTCTCACATCAGTGTCCGAGAATCCCACACACAAGAAAATGATGAGAAGTTTGTTTCGCGACGAGAAGGCAATCTCTGAAATTTGAATAAGTGTTCATGAACTGGTTCTTGAGGCTGGGCATCTTCCGCACTTCGAATTCTAATATATTGGATATTCTGCCATGCGAGGGACATGTGATCTTGTGAGTTGGCGCTCTTGTAGTGATCGTGTGAGGATTTCGTGAATTGCAGCAGCGGCCGGCACCAATTCTGTGTTTGATGCGCTTATGTAATGGATGGTTTGGTCACGGAGCTTTCCATGAAACCAGTCCTTAGATAGGCGAAAATGTGGAATGTTTAAAGAGAGCAAGAATTTGTTCGGTGCGCCTCTTGGTGATGCCGCAGACGCAAATACGGCGGACAGGTTGGCATCGCAATGTAATGCTGCAGTGTGTACCGAACTCCCACAGTATTTGCCAAAAGGTCCCGGCACAATACCGAGCTTGTGCTGGCCCACATTTTGGTTCTTATCTCTCTCGGCCAATATTGGTGTAGCGGACTGAAAATTGGCAACTCGTTATACAAAAGCTAACCGCCATTTTCATCGACTTTTCAGCTCATCATCACGACCGATATGCAGCCAATGAACAGCGGCACAAGACAGATTCAATTTCCGTGGGTCCTTAAAACCTGTACCGCACCAAACCGTGCCACACCGCAATGCGGTACAGTGATGCTGTGTAAGGTGCAATGTGGTGTGGAATCAATATACACATGTTTTACTTGTTGCATGTTCGGCAACCAAACCAAGGCGTTTTTTCCCACCACTCTCAAGGCTTTCGGACGCTAAACGCGGTTACCTTCCCCAAGACAATGTCGACCGCTTGCGCCCCTTCCTAACCAACATAATGGCCCGAATCGTTTCTGGAACCTGTTGGGCTATCTTCCATTGTTTACGTTGGGCTCCTGCGTTGGCTCGGCACAAGCAATCAACAAGGCCTACTGATCATTCGCGAGGTGTTCTACATTCTCTCGTATGGATCTTAACAGAGGCGATGCCCCCTTTCCCGGGACCAGACACACGGGCCTCGATGCACGCACGCGCCCCCACTCCACCCCACCCCCACTCCGAATCCACCGATTCATGTGGCGCAGCGGTGGCCACCAGGCTTGGTTTTTACGTTTACGTTTACGTTTTTACTTTTACGTTTTTACGCGTAAAAACGTAAATTTGCAAAAGACCCTATTTTTACCGCTATTTTTACGTCTTTACGGCTCCCTTGGACGCCCAGATTACATGATGAAAGCTGCGTACAATGATCAGTCCTCCACCATATCCAGCACCCGCAACACAGTGTCCACCTCGCCCTTGCCAAGGGCGATGATGGTGTTTGACAAGAACTCGTTTTCTGCCGCTTTCAGACCGTCTGGCTGCCACTCTCCGGACTCCTTAAGTCTGTATGTACTGTCCTTATGTACACCGCGCAGTTTTTACGTTGTATTTACGTATTTTTACGCATTTTTACGCGTAAAAACGTAAAAACAGTTTTTACGCGTAAAAACAGTTTTTACGCGTAAAAACGTAAATACGATCAGTTTTTACGGCGTAAAAACCAAGCCTGGTGGCCACCACCCGGACGGTTTAGGGCAACTGGCCTGCGATTTTCAAACCGTGTACTTTGGCCATTTTATCACTTGAGGCCAAGGCCATACTAATAAGCTTAACACGATCATTTCGTATTCATCAAATAACGGAGGGGAGTGCAATCACCAACAGAAAACGACATCTTTGCGACTAGGCTTGCTATTTACGCCGTAAACACAGATCCTTTACGTTTTTAAGCGTAAAAATGGTTTTTACGGTGTTAAGCATAAAAACGCGTAAAACTACATAAATGCAACGTAAAAATAGCCCCGTGAACATAAGAACAGCACATACAGCCTTTGGGACTCCGGGGAATGGCATCCAGGTGCTGGAATGGGCAGAAAACGAATTTTGTTCCACTCCATCGTGACCCTTGCGGAGTGGAAAGTGGACGCTGTGTTGCAGGCTCTCAAGGGGGCGGAGTACTGATCACTGTACGCAACTTCCATTGCGTAACCTGGGTGACACAACAAGACGGAAAAACGCAAAAGAAACAGCTGTAAAAATAGCCTCTTTCGCAAATTTACGTTTTCGCGCGTGAGAACGTAAACTTAAGAACGTAAAATTAAACGTAAATAACAAGCCTGTTTGCGTCGCCAACTGCGATGCCATTTTGACACTAATTGATGCTATCACAGCTACTTTCATGCCATCGCAGACACAGTGACAGCGCCACTCTGTGTCAAAATTGCATCGCAGGTAGCATTGCAAACATTGTGTTTGCTGATAGTGAATGGTGGTGGCTGGGGCGGGGGCTGTGAGACCCCCCTTGTTTAGGACAGCCATCCCTCGCTTGATTAGTTTAGGTCACGACAACCGCCGTTTCAAAATCACCCGCGGTCCCCCCGCGTCTATAAAAGCCGCCACCCTCCCCTTCTCCCCAGCGCACAGCTTCGGCCACCTGCCGCGGCGCACCAAAGCCGTGCGTAGCCGCTCCGCCCGGCCTCGCCCGACCACTCCTCGCCGGGCCACGATGCGCACCGGCAGCGTGGCGGAGGTGTACGAGTGGGTCGTCCAGGACGTGGTGACGAAGGTCCAGGAGCTGTTCGCGCGAGAGGGAGTGGACCCGTACGTCATCCCCTACCCGACCCCTCAACCCAAGATTCCAGCGCCCCAAAACTTAAACACCGTGCGTCCCACTCCCCAAAGGCGGGCCGCACCTTGTGTGGAACGCCTGGCGCAGCAGGTTCCGAAACGAAGCGGCGGGAGACCGATTTCAAGGGTCGATTTTCAGCGGCGGTTGGGGTGGCATCGAGACCGCGGTTTGCTGCGCGCTCGGCAAGGGAGGGCTCCCGGGATCTTGGCCGGGAGTTGGGACCGGGGCGCGGCGTGCCAGCGGACAAATTTGTCGGTTAGGGGGCGACCAGCCGGGCGTGCGGTGCTGCCCTGGAGGCTGCCCCGCTCCTTGCCAACGCTCTTCGCAGCTGAGATGCTGCCCAAGAGTTGTAGCCCCTGGGGTTGTTGTCCCTTTTCGGCCTTCGACAGGCTCCACTTGAGAACTGGTTGTGTATGGTTGGATGGCAAGTCCCAAGCAAGGTCCCGAGCTGGCAGCCTACGGCCTCTCCGGATGGGCCGCTGCCCGTATTTTGGCTGGCTGTTGGGCGCTGCCCAGGGAAACCGAGTCCTCAGCCCGACTTTTCACTCTCAGTTGTGGTCAAAAAATCCTCACAAATCCTCGTACTCCCACACACCCCTAACCTTCGCACTGCTGCACAGGCATGAAACCCTACCCTGCAGTGCTCAAATGTCTCCTACCTGTGGTGGGAGTTTGGTGCCCCCCCAGGCGATGGTGATGGCTTGTTGCAGTCATCATTTATGCCGGAAAGCTTCTCCTTGGGCACTGAATGCTCCCATTAGATGAGGCCCAAATGTTGTGAAAGAGCCAGAATTAGGACAGGCCCCTTTCAAAATGCAAGAAAAGGAAGTCAGATCTGGGGTTGTCTGCATATCCCAGCCTTAAGCCACAGTAACCAGAAAAGGGGGCTCCCTGACCCTTCCAACCATAACACCAGACCCTTGCATGCTGTTCAGTGCCCACATGTCACGCTTGAGACGAATAGCACGGCTTGTGGTGGCTCACAGATGTTGTTTGACCAATGGAGTGAACATTTGTTAGGAACCGTTGCCATAGATTAGCAACAATACTGATCTTCAATCTGTCCTATCACTTCCTCAACCCTGCTCAACAACAAGGGGAACACTGGCCAATTTGTCCATGTGTGTGGATGCATAAGTTCAGCTCTATCTTGCCATTCCAAGTGAGCCGCTGGGCTCTTGATGTCAGTCCAAGATTGCCATCGATATTACTTGGTGGCGATGCCATGGAGAAACACTTGATCACCTGTCTTCCCCACTGTTTCACTCTGTTATCACACTTCTCACTGCTGTCACACAAAGGAACAGGGAGATTGTATCGAACTGCTGCTGCAGTTGCATGTCCGGAATCGCCCAGCAGTAGGCAGGCATCTCTACATTGGTTGGGCACCTGCACTGCCTAACTGCAACATTCCCAATTCGCTATCTTTCTCTGCAGTGTGGTCCTACATGAGCTGCGAACCCTGTGGACGAGCAAGCTCAGAGAGGAGAAGGTCTACGGCAGGGAAGAGGACAACACCAGCAGGCATGGTGGCCAGCGCCCTGCACAGGCAAGAGTCAAGGCAGAAGATGCCCAGCGACTGACACCCAAAGTCCCAGTGGCATCTCACCCAACAGGCACGCCAACCAACCCCTCGGTTGTACCAGTGCAGCACGGGACCCCCACGGCACTTGGTATGCCTCTGCAAGGGGCCCAGCCATACGGGCAGCCTGGCGTGCCTCAATACACCCCTGCGCAAATGGTTGCGCCTGTGGGTGTGCAGCCTGGGAATATCCAAGTGCCGCAGACATATGGGGCTGTGGTGCCGATTGCTGCACAAGGTCCAGGAGTGCAGGTGTCACAAGGGACTGCCCCTGCTGCAGGCCAGGGAGGCCCGGGGAACCTGCCACCTGCAGGAGTGGCAAGCAATATGGGCTTGCCACCTGGGACTGCCAACCTGGGACCTGTGGCACCATTAGGTACGATGGCAGAGGATGGTGCAGCAGACAAGGGTGGTGCTGTGGAATCAGTCAAGCTTGCTGGTGATGGTAATCAGCAGACTGGCGTCAAGATTGAGCCCGTTGAGCCTGCTGACGTGAAGTCAGCGACTCCAGCACAACCTGGTGGAGATGGTAATGGAGGTTCCGGACCAGACAAGAAACGCAAGCACTGTGAAGAGGGGGATATGCGGAATGGTTCGACGAATGGTGGACGCATGGATGCAGGACAAGAGCCTTCATCCAAGGTGCAACGAATCAATGGCAAGTCTGCACCCGAAGACAAGGTGCACAAGGGTGAGAGTGGCAGCAAGGATGGGGATGATGAGGAGGACGACGAGGACCTTCCCACTGACGATGATGATGACGATATGGAGGATCCTCCTAACTTTCTCACTGCTCAGTATGAAAAGGTCAGTCGCATCAAGAACCGATGGCGCTGCCAGCTCAAGTATGGCATATTCCATGCCAACGGGAAAGACTACCTTTTCAAGAACGCCACAGGGGACTTCACGTTTTGATACACCTTGGGGCCATTGGGGATGGTGTTATGTGAGGTACGCAGACTTCATGCTGCTGAGTTTGTGGTGCAAGAAATATTTGGTTCGGTGCTGAGGTGTCTGCTCGACGGATCACGCGTGGATGAGGCATGAGATGGTACATGGTCTCAGTGGTGTGTGGGTGCCATGTCACACAAATGGGATCAAATAGCGGACACAATGGGCTTGGATGGAAGGGAATTAACGGGGCTATTGGATTGGCCAAGGGAATGTCAATTTCATTGAACTGGTTGGCTTGTGGTTGAGCTGGTTGAGAAGAATACATGATTTAGATCTCAAATCGTTAGGGAGGTGTTATGTGGCGGCTTTTGCGGTTGGCAATGGCAGACATGGACGTCGCTTTCGCCTGGCGGCTATCTGCAAAGTGGCGCTCGCGAGGATGCAGGAAGGCGGGCTGTTTGGGTGCCAGTATGCAGGGCTCCACCTTACCTCTGATGTTGTACACTATGCAAACGAAGACGAACTGAGCGGGGGCGCAAGTGTGCAATGGACGTAGCGAGCGATAGGGTGGTGAGCAGGGAGCGTGGTGACAAACAGCAGCCACTGACGCCACATTGTGGCCCACCTGTGGTGCCAAAGTGCTGGTGCAAGCCAAGCACCAGTAGGTGTTGGAAGGCACAAGGCAGAGGAGTGCAGGGGGCTCTCAGGCCATTGGACAGCTGGGATCCTCTGGGTTCTGCGTTTTGTTGGTGCTTGGGGGCAATGGCGTTGTATTCCCAAGAAACTTTTCACCACCACCCTGTGTGGCACATCTGCTACCAAGCAGCTTCCCTTCTTCCGATCTGTTTCGAAGTACTGCCTTTTCTATACAGCTATACAGCTGCTGGCTCTATACAGTTCTACACATATGCTGCTCTGTTGCCCCAGCGGTCCTCCACAGTCCCAACCCTCAACAACTCCCAACAAATGGTAACAGTGAGCGTCCCAAATGCTGAGTCTGCCAATGGGGTTGATTCCCTGCCTGTTCAGGGCTGCCACAAAGGTAGCTTTTCATCTCAGTTTCTTCGATCCCAGAGTTGCGGGATGAGATTGAGCCCAGCCTGTCTGTGCACTTGTGCAACAAACTGCACCGACCATGACAAAACACTGCAAGAACAAACACCCGTTGATAACACCAGCACCAGACATCGCCCTACAGATGCCAGGGAAGTGAATGCTCACAACGTTGCTAGTCAACACATGTGCCAAGGCGACATCAACATTCAACAGGGCAACTGCGCCACAAAACTGGGCTTGATGGCATTACCGGCTGCAACGTGCTGAATATTTGGTGCTGTCAAAGTTTGTTTTAGGGCACAAAAACTGCAATGCCAACCAATGCACTGTCACCATGGAGCACAATGCGGCCAGCTCCCACAAGAGGAACGATCTTGGCAAGGCTTAATCTGCCATATCTGTACATGCCCATACGTGAATGTCATGCAACTGGATTAGCGCAAAGAATGTCAAGGAGGCGACACAAATGGCCCCATGAAGACCCTCGCCATAGATATTGCAATCTAGGTGCAAATCCGCCTGGAATGGGTACACATGTGGTCCACAGCCTTGGGACAAAGCAGCTCTGTGTGGGTGTGGCCCCCATACATGCCCACTGCAGAGTACACGCCCCCAAAACAATTTCTTGCCCAATTGCTTATGTACCCAACAGGGGCCATCCAATTCCCCCCAGTCTCGTTATGCTGATGCGCGCCCGTCAGGTTTGGAAACCTCCAAAACAAGCCAGCCAAAAGACTGCAAAAGACTGTAGGAATGGCGCAGCAGGGACTGGCGATCAACACGTTCTCCCAAACAGCTGCCCTCCTGGCCGCCCCTTTCCTCACACACAATCCGCAAAGGGACGCCCTGACAGGATCAGCTGCAAGCACATTCCCCAGGATCGCCACACCTATCTCGGCTTGTCAGCCCTCCCCCCCTGCCCCCACCGCCCCACCTCGCTGGCCACCTGCTGGCACCAGCTCGCGCCCACCCGCGCCCTGTGCTCCGTTGTGGGCTGTCTGTACCAGTACGCCGCCCTTCGCACAAATGCCGCCAGCGGCCCCTCCAGACTAACATCCCCTCCACCCTCCCCGATCTTCACCCCGGCCGCCTCCGCCAGTGCCGCCGCGCCGCTGTCCCTGGCCGCCCTCGCCACCCCCTCCGGCAGGCCGAAGGGCAACGCAATCGACGCCGAATCCCCCCCAAGGGACATCATGTTGCCCAGGTGCTGGTAGCGGAATGGCAGTAGCGGCCGACCGTTCACGCCCGCCCACAGGTTCCACGCCGTGTAGTCCGCCTGCTGGAAGGCCACCTGCGCCGTGGGTGGGAATCCCCGCCCGCCCGCCTCGCTCCCCGCCACGGCGACATCCCCCAGCGCGAACACGCGCGCATGGTTAATCACTCTGAGGGTCGCATCCGTCTGAAGCGCGCCCGCCCTGCTCCTGGGAAACGGGAACCGACCAGCATCGTCGCGGCCCTTTCCCGTCGCGGGCCTGGCGCCGGCGGTCCACAGCACCAGGTCGGCCTGCACGGACCCGGCGATCGCCCCCCCTCCGCACACGGGATCGGGAATCAGGCTCACCTCCAGAGGGGTGTCGCCCCTGGCCCTGGCCGCCACCTCGAAGACCAGCAGCCCCGTCCGCACCTCCACCCCCTGGGAGGCCAGAACCTTGCTTGACGCCGCTCTCTGCGCCTCACCCGCGGAATCCAATATGGTATCCTGGTTGGTCACCAGCGTGACTGCCCCTTGATGACCCTTCAGCCTGTCGCCCACCGCCGCGGCCAACTCCACCCCCGCGTAGCCTCCCCCCACCACCACAACCCTCGGCACTTTTCCCCTGGCCTCCACCTCCCTCAGCCCCTCCAGCACCCTGTTTGCATCCTCCAGGGTCGAAAATGGCACCGCGTGCTCCTTGACTCCGGGCACATCTCTCGTATCCGGCTCCGATCCCAGCGCCAGGACCAGCCAATCATATTTGAGCGATCGGCCCCCCTCGAGGGCAACCTCCCCCCCGCCCGCGCTGCCCCCATCCTTGGTGACCTGATCCGGCGCCACGGACACCACCCTCCCCTGCACGAACGTCGTCTCGAACGGCGCCAACAGATCCGCAAAGTGCGGCGCGGCCTCCCAGGGCTGCACCAGACCCTGCATCACCTCGTACAGCAGCGGCTTGAACACGAACCGGTCGCTACAGTCCACCAGCGTGACCTGCGGCCTGCGGCCCTCCGGCCAGTTCAGCCGGTCGAGCGCGATCGCGGTGTACAGCCCCCCAAAACCTCCGCCAAGGATGCAGACTCGAGGCCCGGAATCTTTTCCAGATGCCGACGTGCTGAAGGCGCCGGACGTAGCCGGAGCTGCCGCGCAGAGGACGGGGCTGGCGGCATTGCGCCCAGGTGGCCGCCGGCTGGGTCCGGAAGGGAGGGATGATGACGGCAAGCGGCGGCGCGGGGCGGAGTCCTGCAGGGATGCGGAGGCGGCGCGGCGGCAGGCGGCCAGGAGGGACAGCGCGCCGTCGAGGGCGCGGCCGCCCAGGCCCAGCTCAGCGCGCATCTCGGCGCGGAGGAGACGGCGAGGATTGTGGCGGGGGCACGTCTTGCAAGGGTGTCCAGGAATTGGGGTCGGGCCAGCGGGTCCAAACGCTACAGTTTTTTTGTTTGTTTTTTTTTTTTCCCACAGAACGTAGATACGTTCCCTTGGTGTCAAGCTGTTACCACCTTGTACAAGGTACAATCAGGCGCGGGAGCAACGAGGCAACATCCTTTTCTTGGTGAGAAGTGGTGAGCGCCGAAGACGGCGGTGGAGCATTCATGGGTACGGGCTTTGCAGCGACCAAGAACGCCGAGTGCATTGTCCGGTTATGACACTCCCCAGGGAGCGGAGGAAGCGGCTCCCTGACAGAAATACCTCAGGAACAAGCGCATAAGGCGCGGCAGGTCCACCGTGGGCGGGTGAGGCGCAGCGTGTTGCAGTCGCTCCAGGCCTGCAGCAGCCTGCAGCAGGCGTACTGCGCTGCGGAAAGTTGTAAATTTTTACATCTGTGCTGTGTCGCGCCCAAAAGATAGTCATGTGCGCCAGTCGTCGTGGCTGGGAGCCTGCATCACTCATTGAGTTTGGAAATGAGCCCTGCCTCTTTCCTCGGCCAGAAAAAAAATGCAACGAGATAGCCTGTTCTCTGAAGATCTTATGTGCTGCGATGCCAGTAAGCGTGCCGGAGGGGCACAGCACAACAATGCTCCCTTATCGACTGGAGTTCTTCACAACATGGCATATTGAAACTAAGCCAATACGAAGCCAATAAATGTAGGAATTCCTGCCGGTGTGAACGCCACTATTGCGTGCTCATTGCCTGGGTCTTCAACATCAGATCGCTCTGTTCGTCTTTGACAAATGAGCCTTCTCTGCAAGCTGATAACCATTTCCATCTATCACTTGGGTAATGTTGTCAAACTTTTGATTGAATATTTGCAAATTCTTTTGCTTACTCTACAGCTTCAGTGGCCCGCGTGTCGCAAGATGGATCGGATTTCGTGTGCTGCACTCGTTCACAGCTGCATGATGAGTGCCACAGCGTTTCCTAAAGTTTGTTGTGTGGGTTTCGCACAGGAAATCCGAGAATTTTACCCTTCGCGTATCAGAATTCTGCAGAAGTCTCCAAGCGCGCCAGCAAGAGCACTTACATTTCGACTGCAACCGACAGCCACCCGTTGCCACATGGGGCGACTCCCATAAAAAATTAAACCCCCTTTCCCCCAAAAGAAGACGACCAAATGGAGCTAGTCCCAATGAATCTACCTGTTGTTTGTCCTGCGTTCTGGCCACTGCTACCCAAACTCCCCCTCCTCCACCGCAAGCTATGCCGAATCTACCTGCGTGTGCCCCTCTGTCGCAAGATTTTGAACGCGGCAGGCGTGGCGTAAGGGATGCCTGTCAACGGGTCCCGATATTTGGCTGGAAGCCCCGTCACTGCACAGACGCTCCTTTTGGCCGGCTTTGGCGCCACCTGGGGCTCCAGCCATGATGGCACGTGCTGCATGTTGCACAACTCCACCGTTGTCTACAGCACACATCAATCGAAAACTCATGTTCTGCTGGGTGCATGTGGCATCATGCTTGGACTGTGGTCGTCAAGACTTCAAGTTCACCAAAGCCGTTTCTTGCACCTTCGAAGTATGTTTCGAGTGCCATCTTCACAAGCTCCATCTTGAAAGCAAGCAACGAGCACAAGTATGGGCACCACAGGTACGTGACTTCAAGTACGACCAGTGTCACAGTGAGTGCACCTCAAGAATATGTACAGCATGCAATCCAAGCCAGACCTATCCAAGAAGACTGTGGTCCACATGCACAGTCATGTTTAATTTCAATATCCCACGACCCCTGCCCCCACCCAACACATCAGCCTGGAATCGACAGAGTGCCTTGTGTGGCGCGTATTCTCCCCAGCACGTATCGGACACTGCTGAGCAGTTACTTAGGCGTAGTGGAATTTGACCAAAATGTGCTTCCAGTACTTAGCGTGCTGCAGGTCTAATATTCCACATGGGATACATGTCTCCTCATGTGTGGTGTGCAGGTTGCTGGGGTTCAATGAACATATTTCTGCCATGAATGGCCGAATTAAGGAACATGGGTGGACCTGCGACCCATAGACATTGAACGACGTTGTCCTAAATACCCCACGAAGCGCGACAAGAAGTCAAACCAAAGGTCATCCAGCCAACGTGAGGGTAGTTTCACGTTTGGCATGGGGAGGCATGCTCTCATTGCATGTATAATTCCTCTCTTATGCACTGTCATCTGTCCCTTTCACTGCCCTTATGATACACTCTTACTGTCAAGCTCGTCGATGGGATCAGTGTTGCGCACAGATGAGCACAGCCTTGCTGTTGATAGGTGCACAGTCAACGAGGCGTCATAGTCAGCAAACAGTTCTTGTACCAGCTGTCACTGATACACTGTGGATGCTCAGGCCAGATAGGAACACAGCTTAAGTCCAGATATCAGCCAGGAATATTGGTGATCCAATGTCAGTCTGCATGGTGCCGTGAACAGTTGCTTAGGCTGCAGGCACGACACTGGCAAGGCCAAGGCCTTCTCAGCATCGCCACAGCCTTGCCCTTCCATGGCTTTGGACCCACCTTCTCCAACCCTCCGACCTTTGCCGACTTCACCCTCACCAGCGGTCCAGTGTATCGCGTTTTCGTGACCATAGCCCTCTTCTTGGTCTCCTCCTCCCTCGCCACCAATTCCTTCAGGTCAGCTAAATTCTTTAGCTCCGTCTGAGCAGCCTCTTTCAGCAGCTCCGCCTGAGTGAGTGGCCGGTATTTTTCCGTGTCCGGCGGTTTCTTGCGTTTCTCCTTCAGCTGCAAAGGGTGAACACATTCTTATTGTGCAACATGCAGGGAAACACAGATGGAGACACAACTTCTGATGAGCAAGCCCTGGGTGGGTGGAGAAATTGAAGATGCCAGCCACTGTCTGCCAATCCAAAGGTGCTGCCACAAAATGATTGTGTCTTTGTATCAGACAGTTCCAACACTTCTATCAACACTGCAAAGGTGCCAGGGCGTCCTTGAGACCCAGATTGCAGCATTTGTGACCACATGATGCACATGCATCTGTCACAGCAGGACACAAGTGTCCACTCAGTTGGTTGTTAGGCTGCAGGTCTGCGACCTAGATGGAACGCAAGTACAGCACAAGCATGCTGCCACACTGGGTGCAAACAGCTTGCCTCTTGCCAAGGGCACTTGGCTCCAAGTGTCTCAAATGCTACAGGCTCTTCTTGGACAGTCATGTCACTGGCATTGCCTTGCCTATCTTGGTGTTTGCATGATCACCACCAAGGACTCAGAAGCAACCAATGCCCCTTTGAAATGGATGCGACAGTAGCCCAGCTCCAGGGTTCAATCACTTGTGGTCCCAACAGCGAATTCAGAAATGGCAGCTCTGGTACTGAACAAGTGATAGACAAACTTTGCAATTCTGCTCTTTCATCACTGCAGCTGTTTCTTTTGCAGTTCCTGCACATTTGGATCAATGTAATGCACCTGTTTCAAAGTCAGCGCACCTGCTCCTGCCTCAGCCTTTCTTGGGCGGCCTCAGCCCTGCGCTCGATTGTGGATTTTCTCAGCACAGGTGGGGAATGGACTGGTTTGTCAGTGTCCTCCAGCAGCGGTGATTTCGCCCTCTTGGCCTTTGGGGCCGCCACTGACTTGTCTGCAGGGCGCTTCTTTCTTGCAGACCTGCCATGAGATCCAGGCGGCAGAAGCTTCTTCTTGCTGCGGACCCAAGGAAACCAAGTTCTGAGGTTCATGTCTGTAAGTTGTTGTTGCTATGAGCCAGCAACAAGTCTAAACACAGAATTGCATCTTGCATCCATTCCACTCTGAAAGATCGTCAGCAAGTCCTCACAAAGTCCATTCACACCTGAGGCCAAAATGTTTGGCCTGAAACAGAAGTGATGGAAAAAGAATATACAGAGAATGGCATGAGTGTTTTGGACTACCACTTTGCACTGCTGTAAATAAAAGGCAAAAGGCACGCACTCATGAACAAAGCGACTATAGGAGGGGTGGATTGCTGCAGGGAACCATTCCTGTGCACAGTCCCTTTTCACCATCAAATATACTGATCGGTTCACATCATCTGACATGGCTATGCTGGGATGCTGGCAACACCTATCCAACACCTGCATCTCTTCCTGTGTGTCACAACAAGTCTGGTGCTACAGTGGCCACTTGAAGCAAAGATCCACATCTGCGTGCAGAAAGATGATCAGTATTTACAGCCAATATGCCTCAGCATATTTCGTCGCAACATCCACTGCTCCAATGTTACAAACTAGCACTGCTTCCAGCTGATCGCTTCCAGACATTAGACATGCTGACAACACTGTGCCATTTCCATGTGGGCAGTACGATATGCACAAGACAGAATTGCCCTTGCTGGCATGCGCCAGCAGGGAAATGGTTGACAACAGCGTTGACATCAAATTCACAAGCAAAGGCTGCAAGGGCTCATCTTTGAATGTAAGCTGCAAGCTCAAACCAACCACAGGCAACTGGTCACAAGCACAGGTTACAATGAGGTTACAAGCAAGGAAGGATCCAGGGATTCATACCACATTAGCGGCAAATTCAAAAGGAAGGGGTTTGGCACACCGAGGCAAATACTATGTTCTCTGTTGGGCTCGTGACCATACCACAAAACAAGAAGAGAAACTAGCAGAATAAGCCAGAGCTTGCAGCAAGTCCATGTTTACAAGCCTTGGGAGCAGGTCCCACCGTGGCTGATCATCTCGCGTGCCTTCAACCCCTTCGTCATCGTCCTCAGAATCTTCCTACCATACAGAGGTACATACCAATCATATCAACCAAAGTCCTCCTCACTCTGGGCATGACAGACAACCAACAAAAGAAATCTGCTTGTCTAGATATTCCGTTTCTCCCATTTGTTGAGCGTTTTCCATGCCCTTGTGGATTGGCACAGGGCAATCTCAACGTCCTGAAGACGGAGGTTTTAGAGTTTTTTCCCATTGGTTGTGGGAGTGCGTGTTTGAGCAGTGCACATATCAGAACGTGAAAGCAGCTCGTTCTGCCATCACGACACCCTGGAGGCACAGCAGCCACATCCTGGGGCAATTCCCACGCAATGTTCAATGCAGGTGTCCAATCCAAGCGCGCTGAGCACCTGACCGTGCCCTTTGTGACTGGGGGTCCCTCCTCTGGCATCAGCTCACTGCACCCCTGGCACTCTTGCGCCTAAATAATCGCTCGGCACCCCATCAAGGGCCCTCCCTCCCACCCCCCGATTCGCCAGCGCCAGAATGGGCAGTGTGGGCTCACCGGTGCGCTGAAGTCGCTGTCCGCGACGTCCTCATCATCCGTCGTCGCAGCGTAGTCCTGATCGACGGCCTCCTCCTGGAAGGCCTCCTGCTGCCAGAACTCCTCGTCCGCGCGCCTCTCCTCCTCCTCCATCACGGTCCGTATGCGCGACCCCCGGGTCGTTCTGTCCGGGAGGACGTACCGCCTCTCCTCGCCCCCGCCGTCCTCCTCGTCGTCTTCGTCGTCTTCCTCCTCATCCCCTTCCTCTGAACCCTCCTCCTCTTGCATCTCTTCGTCGCCTCCCCCCTCCTCGACGTCCTCCTCGTCGTCGTCGCTCGTCGATCTGGACATGGCTCACGCTGTCGCGGCGAGGTTCCACGCGCCAGAGGCGGGGGCCCCAGTCGCAAGTGGAACTTCGTGCAAGTTGTGTTGCGGAATGTCGTCACCAGATCAGTGTGGCAGGTTTGGTATTCCAGACCTTCTTAGATTTACTTGTTACCCACGGTACTTGTTAGGCTTACTCCGCAGCTTGGGCCCCCTGTGGCAACCGATGCTTGCAGATTTCAGCAAATGAGGCTCCAGCGTTGGGATCATCAAGTCGCTGGAGGTGCGGTCTCCTCCATGCGCCCATTCACCGTAAGCGTGGCAATGATCGCAAAAGGCGCGTTAGGAACTTTTGTGAGAGTATTGAAAACCTGGACGTTCAAAATGGCCCATGAATCCGGAGTCGAAATTCCATGAATTACATTTGTCATAGAGCATATGAATCCGGAGTATGTTCTTGCTCGGGCATTGGGGCAACTCCCCACAGGGCCATCGCCTGTGAGCGATCTACCCGCCCAGCCGGCTTTTTCTCCCGCGGGAAGAAACCTTTTTGGACGCAAACGCGCCCGTCATGGCCCGCGCGCTGCAGCGTACCCGCTCCGTCTTCGAAGGCACACTGGAGCAAAGCAACTTTGCTTCGTTCAACTGTGCCTTCGAATGCTTAATCGGCTCCAACCAGCCGCACGTCGGGCACCCACCTCGTCGTTAAGAATCTCGCGCCTCGATCACCTCAAGTGCAATACTCCGAGAGCAGAAACGCCCCGCAGCACAACACTGGGCAGCAAGGGCACGTTTGTTGCGACCTTTGTCCCATATTGCATGCCCTCTATTTGAAAGACGAATTCCGTTACAAGGTCGGCATCGAAACTACAAAGAAGCTCAGAACCAGAAGGATTGGGTCCCAAAGCCCTTGACCAATTTCCAAGAAGAAGCAAGCCCCGTCTCCTTGGAGCGTTGGGCGAACAGAAAATTTTGGTCGTTTTGGGGTTTGCGTTAAGTACTGTCCCGCGGCACGGGGGGTCCGTATCAGGGCCCCTTCGCCGCCGAGTCCGGTTGGGTCCGGCCCTGAGGCAAGAGGCTGGGGAGCAGGCGCCCCCGCGTTTCTGTCACCCGCGCAGGCGCCCCGTCCCATGCGTTGCAGCCCGGACGCGCACACCCAGAGGAGAGGCCGCTGGGCGGAGGAGAAGGTGCGGCGCTGATCGGCCTCGGTGGCGATCTCCCGGCCAGGTGTCCGGGCCGTTGCCGGAAAAGCCAGATGGGTGGGAAACTGGGAGAAGCTGCGAGCTGGCGGCGCGCAGGGGGGGGGGGGGGGGGGGAAAGCGGAACGATGGGTGGCCAGCCGCGGGCCGGCGCGGGACAGAACCGAGAGACAAAATTGTGGAAGGAAGTCTGCTGCAATGGATGCGGCTTGGGCCGCACTTCCGCGTCCGGCCATCGTGGGAGGGCGTCGGTGAGCGCGTCCTGCTTTTGCGCATGATGGCGATCCCGCCGCCCTTGGGCCCTTTGCCGGGTGCCGTTCTCCGTTGATCATCCCGAGGGACGGCCGCCCGGCCGGTCGACGCGCCGTGATGCCGCCATGCCGCCCAGGCCGCGCGGCAGACTCCGAGCGTGTGGGGCGCGTGGCGCGCCTTGTGGCGGCCCAAATCCCGTCAGGCGGCCTCGCGACGGCGCACCTCTAGTGCCGCAGCCCCCGGCGGGTCTTCGATTGGCCTTTCGCGCCAGTCGTCCGCACATCTGGCGAGCTGGGCGTCGCATGGCTGGTGGCGAGACTGGCCCGATCTCCAATAGTCGAACGAAGAAAGTTCAATCTCGCAACGGGAGTTCACCCGAGGTATCTGGAGACCCCCGGACCTCTGCTGTGCGTGCCACGGGGAAATCGAGTGAAGGGGTTTGCTCCGGTGGTTGGCGTTGCGGACCCCCACGCGAGTCACTGCGCACTCATTGAAGTGTGCCAGTAGCTTTTTTGGCTGGTCATTCTCTCGAAGGGAGACCGAGAGTGTGTGGGCCTCGCACGGGCGACCCGGGTGTTGCCGACGGGATCACGGCGTGTCGGTGCCCCATCCATTGCTGTGAAGCGGGAGAGGCGACTTGGGGCCGGGGCGCCCGGTCGAGGCCTTCCGGCGCCATCAGCTGATTGACTGGAATGAGGTCAACTGTGGTCATGGCGAGCGCGTGTGGCCCATTTTTCCTTCGTTTCACTCGGTTCGGACGCCATAGGCCGCTGATTGGAGGCAATTAAGGATTCTGTGGGGATCGCTTTGCTGTGTTTTCTGCCTTGTTTTGTAGACTTGACTTAATTTCAGGGGCCGCGGTCTGTTGATTGGGCGCTGCCAAGGGCATTGTGGAGCTTGCTCCCTGGCCTAAGCTGTTCAATTTCCCTGCAGACCTTGAAGACTTGAGATGTTGCCAAACCCCGGGAGCCTGGACCCGTCTGGCCGCAACTACGGCGGACAGTTTGCACCAAGTCAGGGTCAAGCAGGGAACAGCATCTATGGCATTGGAGGTGTGTGCATGGGTGCGCCTCTTGTGGTGTCTAGTGTTCTGTGTTGTACAGAGCATTGATGTGTCTCACTATCCAAAACTGTTTGAAACCATCCAAGCGTGAAATGAATGTCTAGATGCTTCTTTGCCTAATGCAGGGCAATCTGTGGATCGCAAGCCATTGAAAAGGAGGCGAAAAAGTAATGCCTGTGTCTGTTACACTCAATTTTTGCTTTGCCGTCGCACTCGCCAAGCAAAGAAATGCCCTCCTTCCATTCCTCGATACGGCTTGTCAAAGTCAGCCAATTCCATGCACCTTTCCTGGAGCCTGCAATGTCTGAAAATGCCCATGGAGGGATTTTGGGCTCCCTTACAGGAGACTACCATTGACCTTGTTTTTGCTTATGATCTTGTGACATGGCAGTCTTGTGTTGTGGATGTGTGATGCTAACTGCATTACCTCCCAGGATTCTGCTGGACTCCGCAGAGATGCGTCCAGTGGGTTCTTGCCCCCCTGCTTCTGGCTTGACCTGACTGGGTTTGCCAACCAACAAGAAGTGGGTGTGAATGGTTGTCAGCACAAATCAGGAACACTCTGAGAGCAGACAATTGCAGAGGTGACTTGTGCTCACAGTAAGCTGACAGGTGCAAGCAGTGTGTAGTCATGGTTACAGATGCATTCAAACCAAGTTTGCCTGACTGGGGTTTTGGTGTGCAGGAAACATCCCTGTCCAGCATACATACCCTGGCCTGCAGGGCAACCTTGTTGGGGCAAGGTGTGCAGCACCCTATCAACAGTCATACCATCCATCGTCTGATAGCTTTACCTAGGTTGCGATGCAAGTGCACCACCCGACGTTGATGCATGTGTGAAAGCAGGATTGAGTATCCAATCCCGAAGATGAGCTGCGCAGTGGCTGTCCAGTCATGCAATCTGTCACCCTTGCATTTACTTTCATGCTTACGACATCCCCCCCCATTTATTCAACAATATTCCATAACCGTAAGTGCCTGCAGTTTGTCTGATCTCAATCATTTGTTTGGGTCTTGAAACTCTGGTATATGTTTGACAGCTCAAGTACCCTGTTCAACCTGTCACTGTGAACATCAGCTGCTGGTAAATGTACTGTTGTTTAGCATTGCTGATTCTACTGGACAAATGGCAGCAACTCTCAAGTTGTCTGGGGCTGATTATGAGAGCTTGGTGCCAACCTCAAAAAATGCATGCTCAATGCTCCAGACACTTGTCATGTGTGATGGTCAGTGAATGGGCAATCTTTGCACAGGGCTCAACTGGCAAAGCATCTGCTCTTGCTGTGCAGCTATGGCATGCTTGCTCTGATTGCATTGTCAAAAGTTGCCAAATCCTAAGCCCAAAAAAGTGCAGGGAACATCTGTGTATCAGTGGTGCGACCGTCGTGACCACACTCAGCAGCACTAAGTCCTGCCTGTCATGTGTGCTCTGCCTGGTAACTCCCTTTCCTCTTGCACAGACCCGGCTTTGGGGGCCCTCCTGTGTCCTCAGGCTTTCAGCAAGTTCAGCAGGCGGACAGATTCGGGGCTGGAGGCCTGGGACCAGGTGCCCTTCAGCATGTGAGTGCTATTGAGCACACAGCCCTTGTTCCTGCTGCTTTCACTGGAGATACATTCCTTGTGGACTTTCGTGTGCCGGAGTCGATGGACCCCAGTGGCCAGCCGGCTTTGGATGTCAAGGGCAGCTTCTCTGCTCTGTTGTGTGGTGTCAGAAAGTGCCTGTTTTCTTATAGAGCCTTGCCCAGGGGGCAGACAGCTGTCTGAGAAGCAGAAGGAGATATCCTGAGTCCAGAATCGGAAGTGGGAAGCTTCCTTCTTTGATATTTTTGCTTTAGAAGTCCCTGTTGTCCCTGAAACTGAGTTGCACTCAATTTTTTGGCTGGTATACTGTGATGATTGGTGCAGACTGCGGCTGGGCTAGTTCCTAAGACTCTCGGGGCTCATGTGGAAACGATGGATCGGTGATTTAGCCTGTAACTTGCCTCAGCACAATGAAATCACAATCCCTGGTGATTGGTTGCTCTTGATGGTGGTGTTGGGGGCAGCCATGAAGTTATTGTGTCACAGTTGACTGTACAAAAGGGAACAGGAATCATGATGCTTCAGAAAGACCCACATGTGGACAAGAGCTAAGCTTGACACCACCGCGTGGGTGCAAGGACGCAGGTGGCATGTCATACTTTTATGTACCCAAAGTTGATTTGCAAGAACGGGGGGTGTTACTGACGGCTGCATTGCTGGTTGGCCAGTTGGGACAGTATGGGCAGTCAAATCGAGGGCTTACAGGGCACCCACTGGGGCTGGCAGGCTTCAACAACAACTCGGCAGCCAACAGGGGCACGCTGGGCGCCCAAATCGGGCTACCCAATCAGGGGCTTGCCAACGCTGGTGTGAGGCCCATGCTGGATAGGCCCGCAGGAGTCATGAACTCAAACTTCCCAGCCTTTGGGGGGACAATGGCAAACCCTGCACAGGTTGCAGGCCTCTCTGGGCTGCAATGGTCAGGTGATACACATTTGCCTCATTGTTGGATGCGTTCATCCTGCTGTTGATTCCTATGTGTGCTTGGGTTCACTCCAAGGTTCAGTGCAAGCATTGTGTGCTGGGCAGCTGAAAGAGACAGTGTGGCAAATTTCACTGAGTCAATTCAGGCAAAGAGTTGTTGAGGCCAGGCTGTCTGCAGTTTCATTTGGTCGGGTGATGTAAACCACGCCACAGCTTGAAGCCAAAGAATGAGCAAATGTTGAGAACAGATGGGTCAAGCGAAATGATGTGATACCTGTATGTCGTGAATTGTGAAGTGCGTACCCTCTGAGAGCTTGTGCTTTGCTGCTGAAAGGTGGCAGTGGGCAAGGTGCAGCCGGCCTGGGCATTGGTGCGATGAGTGGCCGTCCTGGGATCCGCAATCTTGGGGGAATTGGCGCAACGATTGGAGGAGGCATCCAGAGGGACATGGGCATGCAGCGAGGGATGCCACTGGGGGGTAACAGTGGAGGCGTCAGTGGCCTGATGCACCCTGGCATCGCCCAGCAGAACAACACACCTATCCCCTCACAGGACCTGCTGGCGATCATGAATCGGTCCAACCCTCGAACGCCCGGGATGCCCTCAGGGCTGCTCAACTTCAGTCAGATGCCTGGCGCTGGCCAGGGCGTGTCGAACACACCTGGAGGTGCTGGCATGCTCAACAATGCTGCGCACATGAGCTTCATGTCCCAGCAACAACAGCAGCAGCAGCAGCAACGAATGGGATCTGGAGGCCCACTGGGTTTCAATGGCTTGGACCAGCACCAGAGGGTGTCTGGTCCCGTTGGCGAGCCCCCCAAGTTCCACGACGCCAGCGATTTCCCTTCGCTCACGCCCAAGGCACCCTCGATGGCCCAGGGTATGCGGCCAACACAGATGGGGCTAATCGACAGCCAACCGGGATCGCTGTTGGGCCAGCCACAGAAGTCCAGCGGGGACCCCAGTGGCTTCTCCATCCAGAAGGAAGATTTCCCTGCCCTGCCCCGAGCCATGGACCAAGGGGTCCAGCCTGTCGGTGATGAACGAGCCATAGGCCAGCGAGTGGCCAATCAGGGTCAAGTGCCTGTGGCCCGGGCGGCCCTGAGGGTTTCCCAGCCCACGGCATCCGTCGTGGATCAGCTGCGTTCCGGGGAGCTCACCCGACGTCCTTCAGGACCTTCAGTAGCACCCGGGGTTGTGAATCCCTACTTCCAGCCCAGCCATAATATGCCGGCGTCGGTGCATGATTCGCTGCGAACCATCCAACAGGGCCAGGCGCAGCTGAGAGTTGCTGCAGCCCGAGGACTTGTGCCAGGTCGAACTGTTCCGAATCTGCCTGGAGTGGGCCTGAATGGCAGCCAGGTAAGCTAAGTGGAAGGGGACGCAACTTGGTGAAGCGAATCAAGGTTCCACGCAAAGTGCAACACAGTGGTCTGGTGCTTTGCAATGCCAGCAGTACCAGTGCTATATATAATATAATATTTTATAAGCATATACATATAGTACATTTGGAATTAAATAAATAACATATATTTATATTTATATATATATATGTTATATATAGCAGAGCATATACTCAATTCATAGTGGTAAACAATTGCTTGAAGTTATGTGGTCGTCCTGTGTACATTTGTGTTTGACCAGCTGGTATATACCCCCTGGGGATTTCGGAGCAGGCTTGCGAACGGCTGTGCAGGCTGGAGTGCCATTGGTGCTGTATCCCTTGCTGCTGGCTTGTGTGCACAATGGAGCAGTGCTTGCTTCGTTTGCAATGCAACCTGGCAAACCAAGCTGTGTCAAGCACTGCACCTCCTCAAAGCTTTGAATCGCGCGCTTGATATGGTGCAAAGTAGTTAATATCCGCTGACTCAATGCTGGGGCTCGGAGATCTGATTGTGGATACCCAACAGTATGACGGTGCCCTGAGTGGCCCATCATAGCATCAAAGGTCCCAGTGCACAACTTCTGGAACTGTTGATGCACACATATGAGATCAGAGGACTTTCACAGTGGCCCATTTTTCTCGCGTTCCCACACTCACACCCCATCGTTCTGTGCTTATGTCACCGCAGCAGGGCAGCAGCGACCGCTTCTCCCTGCTGGGCCTGCTGAGCGTCATCCGTATGACTGACGAGGACCTGGCGATGTTAGCCCTGGGGCAGGACTTAACCACCCTGGGCTTGAAGCTGGACCAGGTGGGCTCTGACTTGCACAAGACATTCCTTTCGCCCTGGTCGGACCACCAGCTTCCGGGCGCAGCCCCGGACGTCAAGGTGCCGCGCTGTTACCTGAACCCGCCTGAGAAGCTGCGATCCGAGTACCTGACTAAATTCAAGGATGAAACCCTGTTTTACCTGTTCTACTCGATGCCGGGGGAGGAGGCCCAGCACCTGGCGGGGTATGAGCTGACGCGGCGTGGTCTGGTGTGGCACAAGGACCATAAGGTGTGGATTCATTGATCCCATCTTTGACTTCCGAAACGCTGGTTGGCTGCATTTGGCCCAAGCAAGTGATGTTGGGTGCTGCGCACAGATACTAATTGCCCTTGTGATGAGCTTTTGTTTCTGTTCCCCACGTAGCAGAAAAAAATCAGCCAATGTTGTATTCTGGCGCTTGTTGAGTGCATTTGTGGGATGTGATGCAAATCGCTGTCTAGGCACCCAGGGGGAAAGGCCCTGCAGGGCCCCCAGGATTTTTTGTTCATGTTTTGTTTGCCCCATTCTGTCAGAAGGTGTGGCAGATAGGTTGCCACTCCTGGTTTATACCTATTGCGATTGTACTGTGGAGTTCTGGCCAAGCACCCCTACCAAGAGCTGTGCAGAATGGCATCGATTCGCTCACCATGTTCTGTGTCCCATTTCGGCACAAGGTGTGGATGATGCGGCTGCCAAACGCCCAGTTGCAGAAGTCTCCGGAGGGTTGGGAGCGGGGCTCATACATCTTCTTCGACACTGACGACTGGAAGTACTCAAGGAAGGACAACTTCGTGCTGAAGTACGAGGCGCTTGAGGCGGCGCCGACACTGCCACAGCGGGGAAACCCTGCCAGGGCAGCTGCCATCTTGGCGCAGCAGAACGTGCCAACGGGGGCCACGGGGGCCACGGGGGCCACGGCAGGTGGGGCGCCCATCATGGTGCCTGCCAAATGAATGCAAACGATGCCTTGTTGTAATCACTGGGAACCAACATGCATTAGCAAGATACAATCCGTGGGCCTGGTGGCTGCCCATGGTCTTGATGCCGCCCCTTTGTGGCATTGCCTTGCCTTTCATATTGCTATTCATTCTTTCGGGGTGGTGGCTTTGGAATAGTTTGCGGTATGGGGTGCCGGCTGAGGGAGGAGGGCGGCCCAGGGGGGGGGACGGGCAAGTCACCTGCTTTCGACTGGCGTCGCCCTGGATTTTGGTGGGGCTCCTGCGCGGGAGGCCCACATGGGGCAGCAGGGGGTAAATAAGGTTAGCGCCTGAGGGTAGTCGTTGTACTGATTGACGGACTATTCAAACCGAACTGAAGTGTGCAGTAGGGGTTGGGGGTGGGGGGGCGTGTGTTTGGGCAGGTGCTGCGCACTGTCGCTCGCCACAACAGAGAACATGCAACAGCAGGATGGGGGATGGGGTGGGTGGGGGGAGGAGATGATCAAAGCATTAGTTTCGATTTTCGCGCGAGTGTTAGTGCAGGTCGGCATCGCTGCAGAGGCAAAGGGACCAGGTTTGTGCTGGCTGTGCATCCGTGTGGGTTTGGTCCTTTTCATGCACAAGAGAATGTTTTTGAGGACTGTGGTTTTGGGATTGGGAGGGGCCTTGGGAGGGCCAGGGTCGTGCTCGAATTTGACCGATGGAGGCAGTTTGCCTTGAAACATGGGAAGACGCAGGTTGCTGAGAAGGGGGAGTTGTGGATTCGCTGTGGGAAACCGTGCTTGAAGGAACGATGACCTGTAATTGAATGTGTGTTAATGTGGGTGTCAGAGGGGGACTTGGCCGCACTTTGGAGCGTTTTCTGGTGCCGAGGATGAATGTGGGCATCCTGTTGCATCCTGGTTGGTGTCTTGCTGTGCGAGCGGTGCAGCCACGGCCCCTGCGTTGGGCGCTGCATAATGTGGTATGTCACGACAACACGCAGCTTGCGTGGGGTGCTCCCAAACAACCCTTGCAAACGCGGCCGCCTTGATCGTTGCACGGCTGGAACGTCTGGCAGCGCTTGCACCAAGGGAAATTCTAATATGACAGAACGCGCTGAACTCAACTCGTTTCAGACGCCAAACTTGTGAACCGCCCAGCGATCCTCGCAACGGGCGCCGTGGTGATCTGGGTGGAAGAACAGCAGCTCTGTCCGGGCGTTCGGAATGATCACGCATCCGCAAGGTGATCGTGTTGCCCATCCCGTGCACCTGCCAATTGTGTTCTTCCTGCATCAACTCATAGCTGGAAGCACACAATACGACAGGCTTCGAATCGAAAGAATTGCAAGATCGCAGTGCGTCCAACAAGACGCTGTCCATTCCCTATTAGTTCAAGGGAGTCCGTCCAAGGGCGCCACCGTTGATGGTATTGCGGACATCCTGCAGCCCCCCAGGTTCAACATTGGCAGCACCTTCAGCTGCGTTCCACCTTCGGAAAGTCGAGTAGTGCCTTCACTCGGACGCAACTGTTGCGTCCACTGAGAGAGGCACCCCCTTTGACTCCAGCTGATCTCTGAGCCACGAAATGCGATCAGCCTCTGATCTGGAGTTCCACTCAAACGGAGAAATTCCGCAGACCTAAATGCAAAACGTGAACAATAGAGCAGTTATCACCAGGGAAGTCAACATTCATGGCATAAAGATAACGTGTGTACGCCAGTCGATTCAGCCATGCGAATCTGTTCAACAACATCCACGTTGGTTGCTGAGTGGAACCTGTTCCATCACCCAATAGCATGGTTGAGGAGTCACGGAGCATCACACGCAGAATTTCGCATACTAGGCTCTGCATAGCCAGCCAATCGCCGCCAACACCCACACTTTCCACTCTTCCAAACACGCTTTTGGGGCGTCACAGCCTCTTGGACAGGGGCTGCACAGTTCGGTAAAATTGCTGGCTGTGACAGACAATTGCATTGTCAAGACCCCTAACTGCAGGCATACCCACCTGCCACCCACAGCTCTCAAGAATGCCGTTTCTCCACTGTGCGACCCCCAGCGCCTCGTGGCCTTTCTTGGTTTCGTTGCAGGCATAGTCCAGGGCGGAATCCACCTCGACCACGACCTTTCCCAGCTTGGGATGCAGCTCGATATCAACGGGCATGGCACCATCCATCACTGTGGTCCCGCACCGGTGGCTCACACCCAGGCTGCTGAGTGTCGTGGACACCTGGCCCCGCAGGTGGGCATCTGTCTGCCTCCGCAAGATCCACCCGCGCCTGGCCTTCGCCATGACACGCTCCCAAACGGCTCCGCTGACCAGATCACCACGGTAGGTCCTCATGTGGATCACTGGCACAAAGAGCCAGCCCCACACCTGCTCGGTCGGGGACTGGCCTTGGTTCCACAACTTGTGGATGTCAAAGAACAGCGTATAAAACAGTTCTGCACTCAGGCATCCCACCAGCGTGAGGTCATGGAGCAGTTTCGCCACATCGCCCACTCTTCTGAATGACTGGTGACTCTCATCCACCCATTTGGCAACAAGCTCATTAAAGCGCCGATCTTTGAATCTCAGGGTCCCACAGGCATGCAGCAGCATGAATAATGACTTCTCTTGCTGAGGATCATTTACGCCTAGTGCCATGTATCTGGCCAGTACCATCTTCAAGCAGATCAAATCGCGAAAGCCAAGGGTCGCAATGGACCAACCAATTATCCCCAAATTCTGTTGACTGCACTCCCCTCTGCGCCTTGAGCTCTTCGCCTCGATTACCAGTATTGCAACAGCCTGAGCCAATTCTTCTCTCGCAAAAGACGACCCTAATTGGCGGGCTACAGATGCCAGACCGTACAGGATCATCACAATCCCTTGCTCTGTGTACTTTCGCAATCTGTGGGCTTTAAGAGCCTCGTGTATCAGGGCTCGCAGCACTTTGGGATCAAAGTACCCCAGCTTGCCAAGGCCCCAGACAAGGGTGGCCACTTCCTGACACCGAAATTTGACCAGGCGATGGCGTGTCATGATTTCATCACATAGGGCACTCAGAACAGCCTGATTGCCAGCGCCCAACAGAGCCAAAGCATACACTATGTTGGAAAGCCCCTCCTCTTTGAGCTGAGCCAATCTGTGTGGTTTCATCGTTTCCCCCATGAGCCAGGCAATCGGCACTTCATCTTTGTGGCCCAGCACACCAAGTGAATACAGTATAGTTGACAAGTTTTGGGCCTCATACTTTGGCAGTCGACCTGTCTTCACAATCTCGTGGCAAAACAGATGCACCATTGGCCTCTTGGCACCCAGTCTGGACATTGCATACATTATCATGACCAGCTCCTGCTCCTTAAATTTCTTAAGCCGCTCAGGATGTTTTGCTTCTGTCAAGATGGAAGTGACCGCAGAATCCAGCCTGGGCCGCTGGCTTGCATTATTTGCCATGTCCAGCAAAGATGCCCCATACACCACGCACGCCAGTGACCATTCCGTAAATGAGCTCAGATTCTCCTCCTTCACGCATTCTGCCAGAATAGATGTTGCAAAATGGTCGATCCCATCGAACAGGCCAGTTTGACCAGAACGAGCAATGTTGCCCCATGTAGCATTCCTGTTGTGCGCTCTGGTTAGCACGCCAAGGGAGTGCATGATGCCTGAAAGCCGCCTGGGTGTCAGAAGCTTGATCAGACCACGTGCCTCAGCTTCCTTGGTCACCTTTTGGAGGACAGGGGAATTGACGTAGCCCACTCTCCTGCACGACAGGAATAGGGATGCCAAGCCAAAGGTGTCCACTTGATGTGCAAATTCGCTGAGCTTTTGCGCATGGTCTCTGAATGCTGCCTGCATCTCCACTTCCAACCCACCTGAGCGAGACAACACATCCATCTGCTGCACTGCAAGCTTGAATCCCCTCCTACTTGCTCTCTCTAGCCTGGCATCTCTCCGAGCTAGCCATCCCTCCCATTTGTCCATCTGCACTTCATGAACATCGTGTTGCTCTGTGGTAGGCCACGACGCAGGCTTCTCACAAGCTGAAAAGTGCTTGGTGGGTGCAAAGTGCCCTGATGAGAGTGCAGCCTTCAGCCTGTCAACATGGACACTGTGTGCCCATGGAGCAAGGTCTTTGTGCCCAGTCCGCAAGGGCAGCATCTGCATACAGACGCACAAGGAGGTCGCCCTCCAACTGCCCCCAATCAATACTTAACTTTGAAGAGAGAACGAGATGGAAACAATCACGATTGAACAGAATTGCACAACAGCCTGGAAGTGCCTACAAAATAGTGATCAACAAATCCCAAGACTTGCCCTTAGTGGGTTGGTGCACATATAGAATCTGTAGTGATCAAGATCGCCATTAGTCTCTCTTTGTACGAGGGCGATTTATGCCAGTTCGTTTGCTGCACATGCACAGTGATAATGCAGGGGTTGCCAGCAACACACTGTACACTGCGAGATAACGTTTACAATACACTGTCGACCATCACTGCTTGTCAGAGAGTTGGAGATGGCGTCAGTACAATCATGGAGCGAATCATGGTCGAAATGTCAATCAGTAGAAAGAGGGACACAGCTCCATCCATCGAGCCACACAACACCACAGACAAAGCATTCTCAATGCTGTCCACTGCCCAAAGAGAGGATTTGAAGCACAGTGCCGCTCAAAAAGGCGCCAACATCGCCTTCAGGGCTTTTCCCTTGTGCAAACGACCTGGAGGAGTCTGTGATCCTTCAGACTTGTACCACTCGGAAACCCGTATTCGCCAAAATGGCACACTTGTGGTGGCAATCACACCAGCATTAGAAACTAAAGTCCACGGTTGGGCTCAATGCTGTTCGCACAGAGTCAGGTAACGCAGACGAATCGACGCCTCACCACTTGCGTCAAACGTCGCAGCCCCAATGAGACTGTGATCGTGGGAAGCCGACCTCCAGAGCTCTGCCATGTTTCCACCAGTCGCCTTCGTTGGTTGGCCGCCAAGCGCTCCCAACAGCGTGCCCACTGCCCCATCACTGGATGCCTGGAGCTCTCAACTCCGGGCCGCACAAATTTCCCTCATGTTCGAAGCTCAACCCCCAACCCCAACAACAGTGCACCAATGACGCCGCTGACAGCAGCTGGGCTTTGTTACCGCGCATCCCTGTGGGTGGCGCACATGCTCTTGGGACATTTCAACGGTGTGATTATATCCGCCATGCACATGACAATGTTTCACTGACAGTTCGGATACACCACCACAGGTTCTAAGATTTCATGCCCCATGTGGAGCCCAACCTGGGTTTGCTTGACTTGAGACATTAATGTTTGATTCGCTTGATGGGTTGCAACCTAGAACGGCAGCCAACACTGTATGGCAGATCTTCTTTTGCCTCCACAGACAAGCTGGGAGCAATGCAGGAAATAAATTAAGATTGAGCCAAACGGGTCCCGCTGCGGAGCTTGAGTTCTCTTATTAGGTAAAGCGTGAATATCACCAAGAAAGGGTTCTGATCAACTCTGCACGGTTTTTTTCAGTCGCGGTTCGGTTGCAAATATAGGTTGCAAAGGCGGACAGGAGGGTGGCCCGAAATTGGGGAAGTGGCCAGATTCCGGTACAGGCGTCCTTCCCCGGCAGCGCACACCATGGACAATAATATGTTCGAGTGGCCCCCGAATGGGGTAATAGGGTGCTTAAATCCTTTGTTTCCATTGCCATAAAGAGCCACACCAAAAGCAGGCCTTGCCCCTTGAAGACGATGCAGGGCCCTCCCACTCACGTTGCATGTTCGTATTGCATTGTTCGCACATTCCCACACCGGCAATAGGCTGCACAAGATTTTAGGGTATGTGGACACCAGCGTTGCCCTGCTGTTCCGGTGCGAGTTAAATTCCACGACGCGTTGGCAGGCATCAGATCTTTGGGACATGATCCCGTCAGCGCTCCGAGATTATATCGGATCTTCCATTTGCTCCCCTGCTATCAGAGCCATAAGACAAGGCCACACGTAGTCTCTACGCGTTCGATACCAGTCGCAACTTCGCAAGCGTGTGTGCACCATTCGATTGTGGCATCATCACAGGTGCACACCAACATGCGCGGTCGGCCACGACGCAGTGTGCATCCCGTGTATTGGCAGCCAGAGGTACATGATCGCGTACATTTGGCTGCCAATACATTCCTTCAGAAGGAAGTGGGGAAGGAGCTCCGCATGGAGCTGAACTTTCGTTTACTGCTTTGAAGGCCGAAACGTTCAGGAAAGTGACTTGTGATGCAACTGTTGTTGCATTCTGCCAGACGCATGAATCGGTACTGCATCGGATATGCTTGCCAAGAAATGAATTCACATAGTCTGTGGCGTTCGAGTGTGTCACTGCCCTCTTCTGTTGCTTTCTTCAGCAAGAATTTGATTGGTCATGATTGCAACCTGCTGTCGCCCGTCGGTTTGTCGCCGCACCATTCAAAACAAACACCGTTCGGGATGCCTCGCGCATGTGAGTTATCGCACAACTTCACATTGCCATATCCCGCTCCGCAACACATTATGCTCTGTCACATGTGATGCGCTCAGAGCAGAACCTCCAATGGGCGCATCTCGCTCCACGGGAAATCTGCTGCACCCTGAACAAATGACTTTGCTCACATTGTATTAGAGAAAGCACGTCGGCAGCGGGCGTGCATAATAGACTCCGTTCCTAGTTTGCAATGATCTTCCATGCCACAACAACCCAAGAAGACGACTCCAGTGTGAAGGGAGGGACGCCAAAGACCTCCAACACAAGATTGCAAAGAATCAAAACACAGCGTCCTTGACGGATATTCTTGTCTCCTGTTGGACACATTCTGGAAATGAAAATGTACATCGCTGTCACAGCCCGGGGGCGGCTTGGGCTTACCCCGTTCGCAGTGGAGCTGTTTTCGGCTCAGGGAGAGGCCAACGAGGAGCGCATGCTGGTCTGCCAGCGAGCTGCTTGGTTTGAAATGTTCTGCCGCTATCTCAACTGCAGAAAGGACCCGTGCCACCGCTCAAATCAACCAGCTCAATGCCATTCGAAGTGCCTCCGTCGTTTGGGTGCGCGCCAACCCGCTGGTTGCATGATGTCCCCTCGCCAGCCGTTCACGAACTCCGCGTCTTCAGTTTCCGTGTGTGATGCGGATTCGCAATGACGCAAATGCCCTACTTGATGCAATTCCGACGGCTCCCATGGAACCATTCGTTCGTCATGTCGAGAAAAACAGGGAATAATCAATCTTGCAAAAGCAGTAATAAAAATGATAAACTGCATCGATATGCCACATTTCGTGATTGCTAGAAGGCTGAACTCGGCAACGGGACGTGTGCTCTTCCTTGCTGGCGGAATTGATTTGAGCTTGCTGCTAATATCGCATCTGATCAAACTTGCTGCGATGATTCGAATTAAGATGTCCTAAGGGCCTTCATTATGGGTGACGCATGGCTGTGGGCACTCAAAGTCGTCCAAGCTATGTTGCAATGTTTTGGCATACACTCTCATGAGAGTGTCTTCTCAGAATGAGAATGATCATTCTCATTCTGAGAAGATGAATGAATCACCCATCAACTTGTCCGCAGCAAACGTGCAACCCATAATAGTCCAGTGGAGCTGAAATCTGACCTGCGTAAACTAGAACTCCAATTGGTGTACAATCTATAAGCAGTGCGCGAAGGATCTTTGGCGCATTGGGCAACTAACTTAGTATACTCAACATTTCCGCATTTTGAAATTTCAGCGTTGCTATTTTTGCTGCTGCGCATGTCTTGGACAGCCCGTTATTTTGGGTGCTCCGCATCATGGCCACAGCCGGAATGGCGACTTTGCGAGTTCGCATAGCCTCAAAAGCCGCTTTTCCGCCACAGCAACTCATGGACCGGGGGTCGCTAGACGCCACGAGCAGTCCAGAGATATTTGCGTTGTGGCTGGGGCTGCTCCCCATTTTCTTGGCAACGTTGCGTTTTTGCTATCGCTCCCCATAAAAATGATGAGCGTAACGTTGCAACGCAGAAAGATGTGATACACTACGGTAGGTAGTTTAGTTTTTAGGTAGTCTCGTATGATATATCAATACGTATATACATGCGATGTTTGCTGACGTACAGCGTTGCGCAAATGCTCTTGGTGTTTGCGGAATGTTATGATGACAGTATTGATCAACAGGATTGCTATAGACTCATGAATGTGCCGCAGAGCGTACTTTTTTCGTCTTTATGAATCGGGCACTGTTCGGAGTTGATGGAATGGAAGTCCTTGCACGGGCACTTGCGAAAATATTCCCAATAGGAGGTTCCCATTCCATAGGCCTAAGCACTTTACACCATGTGCAACCTGCAGTTTAAAAGAAATTTGCAGTCTCTGCCTTTCCAGCCATTGTTTCCAGACTGTCAGCACAGCTGCATTTCTCCTTTGTGCATTTTCATCGCCATAATGCAAGAACTGCCGCAACGCGGTATCGCACTGTACTGTGCACCGCGCCACAACGTACACAATTTCGAAAAAAAATGAACACTAATAGCATTATGGCAACTCTCATTGTAGCAACTGTTATCAGTGGATGTCAACCTCAACTGCAGGAACGTAAACAGGCGCTTTGCCATTCTAAAAACGGGTACGAATTAAAACATGCGAGATGCACAATTCGGAAGCAACTAGGGGAGGTGTGTCCAAATCTCCGGATTCCTTACTTCGTTGAAATAGTGTTGAAATTAATAATTTCATTAAGGAAGTTCGATTTCCAGACAAGTGCAAAAGCGCTGGAACAACATGGAAATGCACATTGCATACAATCCAACGAATATCATACGAATGCGGCGTTACTTTATGTATATACATATATTGATTGTTCCTACAATTCTAGGAAATTAGGGAAATTAGGTAGTCGTAATCTGAATTAGCGAGCCATTGAGCTAGAAGCAAGCTGTGAATCACCATGATTTAGGGCCGAAAATCTGCATTTAACTACCGCTCCATCCCATACCAAAGTTGAACTTCATTCTCCAGGGCGGGACAGGTCTGGGAGGAAGCAAGATAAAAGTAGAACATATGGTGCTGCCCAAGCAGTCGCTGCCTATATGTCCCTCCATAAACTCAACAAAGCGGCCAATTTTTATGACCAAACTTCAGTGTCTCGGAATTCTATGGAAATCAAATACAATGTAAGTAACACCATAACGGTGGGCACATGTGCATGTAAACCGCAAGGTCTCATTCAAGTTGGATCGTCAACGCACCCAGCGTCGTCCTTGCAAGAAACCCATGAACTTGGCAGTTCATGAGGTATACGATATGCCAAACTCACAATGGTACGAAAGAGGCAGAGGTGTATATGATCCATGTAGATATCTTCAGTTCTTGCGCTGGCAACAATTGACCATTTAACACAGTCTCTAACTGCCTTCAAATTTTATTGAATGGCACAAATCGCGTATTGAGGTTATGTATTGTGTTGAGATGGGACCAAATCGTGGCACGGCTGAAAGGACACTGTCATTTTTAATGCATTTTCTGTGCCATTTTCACTCCAGACATAATTAATTGCATGCAGTGGCTGGTAGTCAAATGATGCATATTAATGCAGTCGATAGGACATTAAATCTGATCAGATTTATCGGTGGGTGCTGCAATCGGCTGCGTGCACATCTTCAAATCTGTTCTGCATCTATGTGCGCATGCAGATTATTCTTCGAGATACTTATAAATCTACTTACCTACGTGTTAGAGAACCAACTTGCATTGGATTCGGAGAGACAAGACGAGAAAAGCCATGAAAATCATGGGACAAGGGGCTGAGGTGCATCTTAGAAAACTGGAGGCAAAGTTTGCTTCACCTCCGGTTTTTCTAAGCTGAACTTCAGCAACTTGCACGCTGCGCGGAATTTCTTGAAAATTTTTGCAGCCAAGTGCAATGGCATTAATTTTGATAACAATTACCTCGATAACAATTATATGTCGATAACAGTTTAGAAATACTACAACCTGACATGTGGATTGTAGATCGCACGCTGGATGTAAGCCCGATG